TGGATTCAATGCTTGTGCTTTTTGTAAAAGGAAAGCACCGTTATCTACTTAGGGATTTACAAGCATGTAGCCAAGAAACTACATAATCGTTCATATAAACAAATCTCTGAAGATTACTCTCCCTGCCCATTATTGGTTAAGTGAGAGAGAGAGAGAGAGAGAGAGAAATGATAGATACGCAACAACTAATACAGTACATCCTCCTAGATTTTTATTTATATAACTTCATGTATTAAAGCATCTTAAAAGTAGCTTAAAATAAAAATACCCATAAATATATAATAAAACGATGCCTGAAATCATTCAAAACAACAGTACAAAACAGTAATAAAAGCAGGTTCATTAAAATATGCATGGAGTTATTTTTCCAATCATACATCTAAGGATGGATGAAGGGATAAACTTTTTTTTAAAAAAAGGCAATGTGAAATATGCAATACATTTGTGTAGAGTGCATTTCATAATCATGACATTACATTATAGTACTGCACTAGAAAAGGAGAAGAAAGATCAGTAGAAGTTCAGGCGGGTCTTGGTTTGATGTTAGAATATGACCCATGAAAAGAGATGCAACTTGATGATTCTGACAGGTGAGAGCCAGTAGATACTTTAACCATCAATGTGGATGATATTGTAGCTACAGCATATCCAAACGGCAGTATGCTTCAAGTATCTGAAATGGATTGACTCTATTTTGATTATAATAAATTCCAAAGAATTCAACCTGTAAGCAACAACATAGAAGTGTTGATGTTAGCTTGATTGTATGCATCAGCAATCAACATGATCATTCAAGCTAAGGTCGATTAGCTTACCTTCAATATGATGATATCCTTCAATATATCATTTATTACTTCAACTTCAGCACTACATGACTCTAGACTAACATTATTGCCATTAATACTTATATTCTTACCCATTATCCACTAAGAAAGCTGCATACAGAGGTGACCCATTGCTGGTCACCTAATGCAGTCAGGTGACCAGCAATGGGTGTGATCAGAAATGTGCCTTGGGATTGTCAAGAAGCAAGGAGCAAGCCTGGTCCCTCTGGTCACTAGCACTTGCCACCATCCTTAGTACTTTATTTCCACCGTTCTTTTCATAATATCCTCTTTACCAACTTTTTCGGTTTCCAACAAGGTAGACAGCAGTCGTTCTCTTTTCATTTATAGCACTAGCAATAACACTTAGACTTATTTACAAATGTCAGCATATTGCCCCCCAACAATCTGGGTTTTTATTTTACCAATCTCAGAAGGATGAGTGAACCTTGAGCTGGTCAGGATCGAACGCCTTTCTGTGGCAGAGTTAGCCTAAATACTGCATTCTAACCACTACGCCACTATGGCTCTTTATGGAAGAGGAACAGTGTTTGTGTTATTTGCCAGATTCCCTGGATTTGCCATTTTCAATCATAATCCCATTTTCCTCTGAAGTAAGGGAGGTAGTTTACCAGCAGGTAGCTTTCATTTTAGCTAATTGCACAATCACGGTCACCTCCCTTTAAATGCCACATTTTAACTTGGGAGATACCAAATGTGGAAAGGAACAGAAAGAATATTTTAAAGAAGACATACATCTTGTCTGGATTACTGTACTGCAATGTGTTTTATATGGGGCTGCCCTTAAAGACCGTTAGAAAGCTCCAGAGGGCAGCAATGTGAATAGTTATGGGTGCCCGTGTATTCTGCAGCTTCATGAGCTGTATTCCTCCCAATAAGCTTCCAAGTGCAATTCTAGATGCTAGGTGTCACCTTGTCGCTTTCCTGGTACAGGGCCTGATTACATTTGGGATTTCTTATCTGACTATTTCTGATAAACTGATATGAACTGACAGGGTGTGTTTGCTCTCTGTCCTATCACTTAAGCAGTGTGATATGTTGGAACCCTGCAGCCATTTTTATTTTTTTTTACTTTTGCAACAGTTGTCCTCATGGAGCAGTATTTTTCCCAAGATTTGGATGGCTTCAACCCCTACCTTTTGGAATGCTCTGAAGATCTGACCCCCCCCCCCAAGCATGGAATCAGGAGGTTTTAGGGCAATTTTTATTGTAGAGTCCTTGGGTGTTCCTTGAGCTTGTTTTATTGCATCTGCAAATTAGGTAATATCATCAGTCTTAGAAGAAAATGGGGTTTGCTGTTTTTATACATTACTGGGTTGCCCTGCCAGTATTGATTGGCATGTTCTTGGTGATTCTTTGTTGACTGTTTACTGTTGACTTGTTTGTCTGAGTTGGTAGTTCCTTTATGGGTGTGTGTGTGTGTGTATTATTCTTGATTGTTGGTCGAGTGTTAATTTTAGTGTTAATCTCTGCTCATCCAGGTGTTGTTTGCTGATGAGGAGGTATTGTGGTCTGTTTCCTTTCTGGCTTTTTTATTGCCTCTTTTGATGGTATGTAGATATCATTTATCTCCATGTGAGTGCCAGGCTTTTGATTTTGTTTTAGTTGTTTGATGTTGCCTCTTGGTGCAATCTGTTTTATTATATTTTTAAAGTCTTTTTATCATTGTTTGTTATTTTTAATCCTGTCTGTAGAGGGTCCTGAGTTGCACTTTAATTGGGCAGCTACATAAATTAAATAATTAAAAATTGATATTGAAATCATCACTGGGTATTGTAGTCAATTAGTCTTCCAGCTGCATCTACTCTGCAGTATTGTCATATAAAAAAAGATGGAAAGGGGAGTATTTATACTTCCATGTATTTCATGAAAGAAATATAGATAAAACCATATTAAATAAATTGGAAATCATTTAACATAATACTACTGATCTTTAGAGTAGGTTGCTCCATTTTAAGGACATTTTTTTGTTTAAAATACAACCATGATGTGAAAGAAACATAAAAACAGGAAGAAAATATGCAGGAGAAAAAGGGAAGGGAAACCAGATAAATATTTGCCCATCCAGTTATTTCCTTTAAGGAAGATTGTTGCAGTAACTGAATCTGAAAAACTTTACAACTTCATCCATCGGCTACTATTAGACATTTATCCTAAATATAAATGATAGTTTGTCTTCAGAGAGATTTATTTTACATTACTGCGATAATTTCATATTGAGCGTATATGATGATGATGATGATACAATCAATGACAGATCCAAAAGACATTTAATGTAGATTTCTGCCTCATTATCATTACACAGTCTTAGCTCTATCTAGATCAGGGATATCAAACTTGCAATGTCATGTGACGTGTCATGACATATCACAACTTTTTTGCCATTGCCGACAATGGGGTGGGCGCAGTTTTGCTATGATGCATCGGGCCCGGCAGTTTGACACCTGATCTTGATTGATTAGTGTCACATGTTGTACATGGGCCTACATTTGAGGAGTATACTTTAAGGACTTCTTCATATTCCCACTGCTGAAAAACTGATGAATTCTCTTTATTGCAAGAGATGAAGAGCAACATTTCCTTTGGAAAACAGAAATTTGCATATAAACATTACAGTTTTACAACGTACAATAGTTCACTTAGTGACCATTCTAAGTTACAACAGAATTGAAAAGTGACTTATGACCGTTTTTCACACAATAGCAGCATCCTCTTGGTCATGTGATCAGAATTTGGACACTTGGCAACTGACTCATATTTATGATGGTTGCAGTGTCCCAGGGTCACGTGATCACCTTTTGCGACTCTGACAAGCAAAGCCAATGAGGAAGACAGATTAACTTAACCATGTTACTAACTTAACTGCAGTGATTCACTTAACAACTGTGGCAAGAAAGGTCATAAAATGGGGCAAAATTCACTTAACAAATGTCTCACTTAGCAATAAAAATTTTGGGTTGCATTGTAGTTGTAAATCGAAGACTACCTGTATAAGGCTCTGTTCCATAAATTTTAGCTTTTATTCCAAGTGTGAAACTATTGAGTTCATTATTTTTATTACTTGGCCAAAGAACTAAGCTTCTGACACATTTGGAAAATGGTTTTGTGTCTAAAATATTATGTTATATATATTTAGTATATATCTTATGGATTATTTTCTGCTGAAAAAAATATAAGCATCTGTTATGTAAATCTCAGGCAGAATCTAAGAATTGCTGGTGACCATTAAGGAAATAGTTGACTCTGAATATCATGTAAATATGCAATTCATCATGTTGGCTGAGAATTGATTTAGATAATCTCTGAGCTGACAATCTCACTTAAATTAGAATTAATTCTTTATATTGATGAAAGGAATATATTTCATAATATAGTATGACTTTAGGAACTTTATATTTCATTTAAATTAGTGACAGAAAGTCTGGTGGCATTTCTCTAATCCTTTTGATAAAAGTACATAGCAAAAGCAGAACAAAAACCAGAGACATAAATTTCCACTGAAATGCAGGAAGAAACAAAGCATAACAAAAATAGTAATATTGCATTTTGCAATACTGTAGTTTTGCTAGGCTGGATTTAAAGTTAGACATACACTGCAATAAATAGGCATGTATTAATTAATATCCAATACATTGCAATGGATCTTTTCTAAATATAGCTAAACGTTTTGCTTTTGTTAAGCCTATTCTGAACCTGCAGACTGATGTGAATTTATGAACTGATCAAGTAGCAGAGATATTCCATTTCTTTTATTTCTTATTAATATTAATCCTTAATGGTTAAAATTAACTGCATATGTTTAACAGTTAACCTCAAGACAGGCACCTAGTATTTGAAAGTATAAGACTACTGTCGCAGGATGATAAATCATGGTTTCGCAGATCATGGTTTGTATCAATTTAGCTGAAAATCATAAAGCAAAGTTTCTAAGGAACCTCCCCATCTTTGTTCAACACTCTTGTTCAGTAAAGAGTTCTGAAAACTCAACTGCTTGCACTTCACACATTATCAAATGGTGTTGTGAAAGAAATGCTTTGCTATGAATTTTGGATTTTTCCTTTACAACAAGAACGAACTTGAAAGACGAACTTCTCGTTCAAGAAGATGAATCCGTTACCTTTATTCGTTCCTTCATTCCAGCCGTAGCTTCCTTCCCGCAATGCTTTGCGGTAACGAGGACGTCAGTAGAAAGCTGTGCAGTATGTTAGATCCCGAGGACAGTGCGGAACCTAAAATTGGTTCTTCCTTTCCTAAATTTTTTCTTATTCTTCTAGCCATGCTGATGGTCATAGGAGCCCTGCTGTTCTTGGCCTTTTCGGCCACCGAACAAAACGAGGACAATTTTTACTCGTTTAAAGTGGTCAACATCAGGGGTAAACTAGTCTCCCTGGACAAATACCGAGGCTCGGTAAGTCTGCGAAGGAGAGCCACCTCTGCTGCACCAACTAACCAGCAAGTCATCTCGGCATGCCTGCATGACGGGCGGGGAAAAGGAGAAGGCGCACCGATCTGGCTGGGAGGGTTTGCGGGGTGGGTGTCCCGATGGGGCTCCCGGTTGTCTGCGCCTTTGCGTCTACGGTTCTGTAAAACTCTATTAAAAAGTTTACAGTCGGACCTTTCCCCTTTTCTTCTTCTGTCCGTGTTCGTGGAGTTTGTCTCCCTCTACTTTTCGTGAACAGGCGATTCCGCATCTACGTGGCAGGCGGGCTGAACTCCCCGCTTACATTTGAGCATGTTTCTATATAGGCGAGATAAAGGCGTGGAGTTTTTTGTTTTTTTAAATGATTTACCGAACGACCCTGCAAACCATTCGCTCTCTTTAATACAAAACAAACAATTGATTAACCGGGATGGAGGGAGACAGAGTAGGTATCATCTTATAAAGACAGCTCCAACATCGGAATCGGATTCCTTTAAAAAAAAAAAAGATAATAAAATACTAAAATTCACTTGAGTTTTAACACTGCATGTTTCTGTCATGTAGAAAGTTAATCTGAAGGAAATCCAGGTAAAGTAAATAATTTAGAATGAATGTTTTAGAACTCAGAAATTGAACTTAATGCTCTCTTTCTAGAGATGTGAATTTAGCTAAAGGTTCAGAGGTTTTTTTTATCATATAGCAGGTAAGAAACGTGTTTGATACATATAATTATTAAAAAGCATCTGAGATAAAACCTCCTGCCTGAAAACTATTTTTCCTTCTATATTCCATATAAAACCATACTGAACTTCTAGTTAGAGATTTAGGAGTAACATGGAAAATACAAATACTTCCTTTGAAGTGGCATCACTTGTAATGAATTGCACAGAGAAGCATAGTTCCAGATGCAGGGAGATAAGTAAAATAATCCTATATAGATTATTTACCATAATGTATACTGATCTACATTAAAATTTATTACTGCTTGCTGAGGCTTTAATTACTGATATATATTGGTGATGATGATAATATCTTTATTTAAAATCTGAAACCAGATAGGTAAATAGATATTTCAAGGTCTTAATTTTAATTTTAAATTGAGACCTAATTAAGAATTTAATTAATTACAACAGTGCATAGAAACCCTAGTGTAACTTATTAAAATGGATTTTTGAATGGATTGAGGATAAAAGTAGTTGTTACCATCTTTACTTCCTGCCTTTATTTTCCTCTGATATTAATGCATACCCAAATATATATATATATAAATCAAATCAGGATGTTCTCTGTCCTTCCTTCCTTCCTTCCTTCCTTCCTTCCTTCCTTCCTTCCTTCCTTCCTTCCTTCCTTCCTCTCTCTTACACATACACACACACATGCACACACATTAAGTTCCTATGGAGAAAAAAATAGAGACAATGAGATACTTTTGGGTACTAATTGAAGAATTCACAGAAAGAATATTAATGTACTATATCTTGGCAATCTACAAATAAAAACCCTTTATCCAGACTTAGATGCAAACAGATATAAAACTTTGATGCTCTGATATAAAACTAGTTGTCCAACTTGTTCTTCCATACTGCCAAAAGGAAAACCATTGACTGCACCATTCTAATCTTTGACATCTGAATATCTTTTCCAAAGTCTTCACTGCTCCTCTACTTGGCACTAGTCTGTAGTATAGTTCTTGACTGCTGGTTTGTTTACTGTTGATAGTTGATCCTAAAAGACAGAAGCTATCTACCACTTCAGTATTTTCATTATTAACAAAGAAGGTTACATGTACTTTAATAGACTTCTTTAGAATACTTAGTTTATACCAATATACTCTTTACATTTCTCATTGTCCAAGAGGATAACATTTATAAACACTTTTAATGAATTTGTTATATCATATATTTCCTCTAAAGCAAGGTTCTCCAACCTATGGGCCATGAGGGGATTGCAACCAGGCTGCGGAAATGGCCAGCATGGGCACGCGGACATGTACATTCTCACTTGCATGAGCAGCAGGCAAGCCAGGGGGTCCATTGGCGTGGGCAGGCACGCAGGCACGCCACTTGCACAAATGGAGCTGTTCGCGCACGGGGATGCTTGCCGGCCACTTGCATGGAACCATCCCCTCTTCCCCTACCCCCCCATCAATCCGCAAAGCTGGAAACGTTAGGGAACTCTGCTTTAAAGAGTGCAAAGTAGCATTAACACAGTCAATCCTTACTTTTAGCCTCACAAGAATTATAAGTTACCCACTGAATTGCTAAATACTTGACTAATCCCAGAAAGAGGCTTCTTAGCATTGCTATAGTTATTCCATCTTTTCTTCCGTAATAGATTTTGTAGAAAGAAAGAAGAAATACAAAAATTATGCTTAAAATTGTCAGCTTCTCATAAAGTCACTTGTAAAATCAGAAATTGCATAATGAAAGTAGCAATACCCAGAGTCCTTCTCTGAAGGAGCTCAGCAATTCAAAAAACAATGTGAAAAATAAAAATAAATATTTTAAAGTATGCTTAAAATGTGTGTGTCTTGTGTGTGTATAATTGCACAGCTACTTCCCAGATAGCATTCCATATCTTGTCCTTTTTATGATAGCAGCTAATATATTTTCCAATATTATATGCCCTGATAATTTCTTCCAGTTTTATCATAGATCTACAGAAATACTTCAAGTGATCTGAATGCTTCGTAATATGGTCAATGGTCTAGTGGTTAAGGCATCAAGCTAAAAAGCAAGAGACTGTGAATTCAAACCTCGCCTTGGCCATGAAAGGAAGCTTGGTGACCTTGGTCTAGTCCAGGGGTAGGCAATCTTGGCTCTTTTATGATTTGTGGACTTCAACTCTCAGAATTCCTGAGCCAGAAATTCTGGGAGTTGAAGTCCATGAGTCATAAAAGAGCCAAGGTTGCCTACCCTTGACCTAGTCAGTCTCTCTCAGCCCAACTCATCTCACAGGGTGGTTGTGGGAAAATAGGAGGAGAATATCTTTGCCAACTAGAGTTGACAAGCAAATAAATAGATAAATTCTGATCACACATTAAATGTAGGGAATTCATTGCTACGCATATATAATACTTAAATATTTATCTATCTATCTTGTCTATCTATCATCTATCTTACATGCTCCCCATCTCTCCAGAAGCTATTCTTACAGTATTTTGTTTCATTTTCAACTTTTTTTGATGCACACATTTAATGCATACTTCCAAGATGTTGGAAGTAAAATGCAGGAGGAGTTACAGTGTCCACTAGATGGCAAACGTGATTCACTTTCAGTTTTCAGGGGTTACACATAATGTATTGACAATAGTTTCATTCTCAACTGTTATCTTACATTTAAGGGCTAAGCCCTCTACAATCTAGTATTCTCAAGGAATAATGGGATGACAAATCCCATTATTTCTACTCAGTGCAGTTGTTGGCTTTCTCAGATTGAAAAAAGGAATTAAAATATGGAGGCAATTCTACATTCACAATTTATTTGATGGCTTATCAAAGCATAGATTTTCCATATTTTATCATCCAGTACTATCGCTGGTCCTTTACAAGTTCTGGTTAGCCATACAGCAACCTTCCTATAATGTTGCTTTCCAAATAAGCAGCCACTCTGTCCCCAGAAAATCCAACTCAATACAGCAGCTGACTAAAAATCCTGGGAATTGTAGTCCTAATCCAGATAGTCCTTGATTTAATGACCACAATTGAACCCAACATTCCTGTTGCTAAGTGAAACATTTGTTAAGTGAATTTTGTTCCATTTTATGACTTTTCTTGCCACAACTGTTAAGTGAATCACTGCAGTTGTTAAATTAGTAACCCTGTTAAGTGAATCTGGCTTCCCCCTTTGACTTTGCTTGTCAGAACATTGCAAAATGGGATCACATGACTCCGGGACACTGCAACCGTCATAAGTATGAGTCAGTTGTCAAGCATCTGAATTTTGATCATGTGACTACGGGGATTCTGTGAAAAAAGGTCATAAGTCACTTTTTTCAGTGCCTTTTTAACTTTGAATGATCACCAAGTGAACTATTGTAAATTGAGGACTACCTGTAAATGGCAGAGTTATCCCTGGCATGCTGAATTGGGAACAATTCAATGGCACATAGGAATTCAGGAACTTATGCTAAGGAATCTTTCTTGTAGGGAAGCTTTCTTGTAGAGAAGAATTCCAACTATTTTATCTAAAACAATTACATAAAATTCAATGACTCAGTGAATTCAACCTTTCTCTGACCCAAAAGCTGCTACTTACTGGACAGCCATCTTTTTTGAGCAAAATGCCTGATTTTTGTCTTTGCTAATGGCCAAAACTGACATCAGGTGGTTTTCCTCTGGCCATCTGAGAAATGACTACAACAATATATCTGAAGAACAGATGGCTGGAGAAGATTGTTATTTGATATATTAAGGCCATTCACATATAGACGATTAATGGCAAAATAGAATCCTTATTTACTTATTTTGTGTCTGACTGTAAATAAAGTTGTTATTACTGTTGTTAGTTTTGGTATTATCTCTAGTTAGATTAGAAGTTAAGAGCTTCAATGGCCATTTAGAAAAGTGCAGTGAAAAACTTATGATTTTAGCATAGAAAATATTCTGTCCCCACCCACAACTTCTATGACCACTTCTGTTACCTCATATAATTTACTCCAAAATGGCATATGAAATTAATCACAGGTAATTAATTGCACAATGCAGTTATATGCAAAAATGTAGTCATCCCCTGATGAAATTATGTTTCAATAAAACCTTAAAGTGAACAGAAATTGATACAACCTTTACATTATACAAAGTTAAATATTCACCTACCTGCAAATTTGATTACATAATTAGAATTTAAGCGCAGTTGTTTATACAGACTTAAAAAAAAAACCAGTAAATATGGCAGTTATGGCTGACAGTACTTGTTACTCTTCCTTTGGTACAAAAGAAATTTTCCTGGAATCAATCTTTCTATTCTTTTGAATGTTTTCCCTATTCTTCCTTTCAAACCTCTGAGATCTTCTTTCAATTTTTCTCATGTCTCAGAATACTAGGCAGGGTTGTTTTGTGGGGGCAAAGGATAGTGCCTTGAGTTCCTGATGGGTATACAGTATATATAATGTGAAAAGAGAGAGAGAGAGAGAGAGAGAGAGAGAGAGAGAGAGAGAGAGAGAGAGAGAGAGAGAGAGAGATTTTTTTAAAGGTCACAGTCCTAGTGGATTATGTAGCTGAATGGCTTTTTAAAATAATTCTCTTTGTACATGGAAAATCCATGTTTCATTTTATGGATTGCAGTGGCATACAAATTATAGGGGTGACATAATAGCAGTGTTCCAATATCTGAGGGGCTGCCATAAGGAAGAGAGGGGTCAATCTATTCTCCAAAGTACCTGAAGGCACGACAAGAAGCAATGAATGGAAATTAATCAAGGAGAGAACCAACCTAGAATAAGGAGAGATTTCAACAATTAACTAGTAGAATGAGTTGCTTCCAGAAGTTGGGGATGTTGCAACACTGGAGATTTTTAAGAACAGATTGGACAACCATTTGTCTGAAATGATATAGTGTTTCCTGCTTGAGCAAGGAAGATTGGACTAGAAGACTTCCAAAGTCCCTTCCAACTCTGTTATTCTGTTAATATCTACTCAGATATGATTCTTTATTACCTACCTATTATCTATGGAATTTTGAACAATTTGCAACTATTTTTAATTGTTGTCTTATTAAAAAATATTTATTTAAAGATTCACCAACTCACCAAAATGTGATTACAAGCAAATACAAATCATGGGCATCCTGAAGGATAAAAAAAAATAAAAATGGCATGATGACAATCACAAGCATGTAAAAAACCTGCTCCTCATATGCATATATGTATCTATATCACACACCCATTCAAGGAGGCAAGGCAGTAATTTTTTATCTCTCCTCCACCAATGCCTCTGATTTCCATACAGGTATCCTCAGCTTAACTTCAAGAATAAAGCTGGATTGTACAGTGTAAGGTTTACCAGATAAGTGCACATTTTATAAGACATTCGTCCACAGAACAATGGCTAATGTGTTCCATTAGTGAAGAGAGGGGGAAGAATAACTGCAAACATACCTAATTTCAAATTGTCACGCGTCTCAAAAGGATTTAGTTAACCAGCATGTCTGTGTTATTATTTTTTCTTGTGTTCAATTGTATCTGAGACTTCCTGGACAAGTTCCTGCAGTTTTCCTGGCAAGGTTTTTCAGAAGTGGTTTGCCATTGTCTCCTTGAGAGAAAGTGACTGGCCCAAGGTCACCCAGCTGGCTTTGTGCCTAAGATGGGACTAAAAGTCACGGTTTCCTGGTTTCTAGCTGATGCCTTGACCATTGCATTTACTGTCTATTCATGCATAACTGAAGTCTAAAAGCAAAATATTATTTTCCTCAAGATGCTCTATTTCTGAAAATGGGATGTATAGGAAGTAAAGCATGCTATACTTTTGAAAATAGAAAACAGAATGTGTTATAACTTGTATTTTTTTTATTTCTTCCATTAGGTATCACTAGTTGTCAATGTTGCAAGTGAATGTGGGTATACCGACAGTCACTACAAAGCCTTACAACAGCTGCAGAGAGAGCTTGGTCCCTATCATTTTAATGTGCTAGCATTTCCCTGCAATCAGTTTGGACAGCAAGAACCCAATAGTAATAATGAAATTGAGAGTTTTGTCAGACAAACATACAGCGTTACCTTTCCTATGTTCAGCAAGATAGCAGTAAAGGGCATTGGGGCAAATCCAGCCTTTAAATATTTAATTGGTGAGTATTAAAATAGATTGAATCAGCTGCAAATACTAATTTTATTGTTATTCCCTAAAAACTGTAGACATTTTATGATAGCTATCAGTGATAGCCTTCTTTTGAGAGATTCAAGGAAGATTACTATGAATTCAACAATAATTTCTTTGCTTCTTTTAAGTTTATATAGTAAAATAAATTGATTTCATTTTTTTTTTGGTTACTATGTTCAATTTTTCTCCTACATCTCAGGAAATCAATAGAGTTAATAGCATTTCAGCAAAATTTAGTTGTCTTATACTTTATCTCATACTACCCTATTCCTGAATTGCAAGTAACTCAACATAATGTACCTTGAAAAAAAATATAGCAGGCACAAATCTTTTTAAAAGTATTTGCTATTGCTTCAATATAAGAGAAAGAGAGAGAGAAAGAGAGAGAGAGAGAGAGGGAGGGAGAGGGAGAGAAGGGAACAAAGAGAACTAAAAATTGAGGTGCAGAGGAGACAGAGAAAAGGAAAAGGAATAAGGGATGAAAGAAAAACTTGCTTATTATTGGTCATGTTGGCTAGTGGTGATGGAAATTGTAATCCAATACATCTAACAGTCACCAATTGGAAACAAAATGATTTTAATTAATAAAATACATAAATGAATGATCAATGCAATTGTAAGGTTCTTTTTGCTGAAATGTTCCATTAGATCAGTGGTTCTCAACCTGTGGGTTGGGACCCCATTTGGGGTCGAACGACCATTTCACGGGGGTCGCCAAACAAGGCTGTCCGCCATTTTCCCCCCTTTTCTTTGGCCGTGCCCCTGGCACCCAGTGATGTATAACTGATTGGGGGTCACCACAACATGGGGAACTGTATTATGGGGTCACGACATTAGAAAGGTTGAAAACCACTGCATTAGATGCTTATTTAGTTGAGCACTTTTTTCTTCCATACCAAATTCTAAGATCTGGGTTAATCTTTGTTTTTATATTATTTGATTTTGCTTTGGATAATCAAATTTCTTCTTTAATCTTACATGTCTTTTAAGATTGGAAATATACAAAATTAGGGTATTATGATATCACATCTCTGATATATATATATATTTTTATGTAGAATCCACTGGAGAAGAGCCAACTTGGAACTTCTGGAAATATCTGGTAGACTCAGATGGGAAAGTGGTAAATGCTTGGGACTCTGCTGTCACTGTTGAAGAAATAAAACCTTATGTGATCGAACTTGTGAGGCAACTCATTCTGAAGAAAAAACAGGAACTCTGATTATTTTTTAAAAGCACACATTTTTGTATTTCTGTTTTTGGATCATTGATATAGGTCTTCATATTTCCAACAGATAAATACATTTGGATTACTGAGCTAGCTTCCATACCGTAAATATAAGTATTTGTTTCTCATACAGAATGTCCAGTACCTTTTCTAAGTAAATCATAGATATCAAAACTGATAACTAAGAGGAAAAGTAAAATTAATGAAAGGCCAGTTTTTATTTATTTTGCTGACAAATCACTTATTGAGTTTAGCAAGATGAAGCGTCATGTAGGATTTCCAGGCAGCAAAATTCAGTTCAGACAGAATTCCCTAAATACAGGTAGTCCTCGACTTACAACTGCAATGGAACCCAAACTTTCTGTTGCTAAGCAGATAGTTGTTGTGAGTTACACTCCATTTTATGACCCTTTTTGGCACAGTTGTTAAATGAATCATTGTAATTGTTAAGTGAATCATGTGGTTTTTAGGTGAATCTAGTTTCCATCATTGACTTGCTTGTTGGAAGCCAACTGGGAAAGTTACAAATGGTGATCACATGATACCCAGACAGTGCAACAGTCATAAATAGATGCCAGCAGTCATGCATCTGAATTTTGCTCATGTGACCATGGGGATGCTGAAACAGTCATAATTGTGAAAACTTGATCGTAAGCCATTTTTTTCAGCGTTGTTGTAACTTTGAACAGTCACTATATGAATGGTTGTGAGTCAAGTAGTACCTGTAAACCTTACTGATAGTAAGATTTATCATGAACATATCATGATCATGAACAATGATAATGTTCATAATGATAACTATAATGTTCAATATCATAAACATTATCCTGAGAATTATTTATAAAACAGAAACCAGAACAGAAAAATGTGATCTTAGCCTAGCACAGGCATAAAAAGCAATGATTATGCTAGGAAAATACAGTATAATTAGTCCTTGACTTACCACAGTTCATTTACTGACTGTTCAAAGTTACAGTGCTACTGAAAAAAGTGACCCATGATCAGTTTTCAGCCTGATGACCATTGCTTCATCCCCATGGTCACGTGATCAATATTCAGATGTTTGGCAACTGACTCATATTTATGACATTTGCAGTGTCTCACAATCATGTGATCCCTTTTGCGACCTTCTGACAAAGTCAATGGAGAAACCAGATTCATTTAACAACTGTGTTACTAACTTAACAACTGCAATGATTCACTTAACAACTGTGGCAAGAAAGTTCATAAAATGGGGCAAAACTCATTTAACAGCTGTCTCACTTAACAACAGAAATTTTAGGCTCAAATAAGTCAAGGGTTACCTGTACATTTCCACATAAGCTTATTGAAAGTTTTCACTCACCCATGTATTCCTGAAAATAAGAACTTCTCAAGAATCTGTGTATGGGGTTCCTCCTGAAGCATATTAATACTGTAGTTTTCCAGTTCCTTTCCATTTTGTAATTCTGATTTGCTGTAGGAGATTGTGAGGTATCCATCGTACCATATGTGATATGTGGAGGGAAGTTGCTAATAAGGATGAATTGATAAAAGTCATCTGTCCCCTTATCTGAATCAAAGTTCTTTTTTTTATGAATGGAGACTCTTTTAATAGTCGTTTTTACTCCTAAACAGCACTGAAAAAGTCCTTAGAGAAGCACTGATTTATATAACTATAACTTTGTTATATATCATCCACACTTTTCTTCCATAACAATATTACTAAAATTAAGTAACTTTATTTTGAAAGGGGCCAACTCTGTTTCTAACACTGTGAAAAGACTGGGAAATTTTCAATGATTGAACAATAATAAAAAGGGGTTCTTATAAAATTGAGACCTGTGTTTGTGAGCTTCCTTTATGTTCCACAGAAAGAAAAAAAAAATCTACCACTAAAAAGTAAATAAGTGACAATGGTCCATTAAATAACCCTTTGAAGAAATGTGTTTAAAAATCTCGGTACTGTTTCTCATATTAAACTGAAAGAATGAGCATACTCCTGGAATAACCCTACAGGCACAATTGTCAAGTAATGCATACAACAATCACAACATAAGAAATCAAATGGATTGTGCACATGAGACAGAGAAAGCATTTATTGTATTTTGTTCAGTGTGCTTTAAAGAAGCTTTGAAATACAGCTGTGATGTTCAATAAACTCTCAGCAAGGAATTACTAGAAGCCCAATAATTCTTGTATGGCTCTCCAAAAATATAATACTAAGTGGCAGAGGATGTCCTACTGTAATTGTTTCTTAAATACTGGTAGTTTTTATATTGTTTCATATATTGTTTCATTTTAACCGATGTGCAGAAAATGGGATGTGATATGTACAATAAAAAAACTGTCACCTTTAAATCCAGCAGAACCTAGTTCATATAATGCCCTAAGCCAGAGGTGGCACTCGGAGTCCTCTCTGTGGGCACACATCCCGTTGCCCCAGCCTTGCCTCCCCCACGACCCCCTCACCAGTAACCCCCCTGGAGGAGAGTCGCCTCCAAGCGTGGCCCATGCGAAGCAGCACAGCCAAGGACATGGCAGCCAGGCAGCGTAGTCAAGACTCTGTTCTCACGCCCCATCGCGCACAGTTGATCCTGCGGTGGGCAGGCAGAGGGTGTGGCCATGGCACTGCTGGGCTGCCTGGGCGATCTGCGGCAGGCCTTGGAGGCGGTGAGTGGTCCTACAGGCAGGCGGGGCAGGGGGTGAGGGATGGAGCAGGGGCGAGGCAAGGAGTAGAATGGGGGCGGGGCCAGTTTTTTGGCACTCGGTCTCTAAAAGGTTCGCCATCACTGCCTTAAGCATTATATTGTGGACTTGAAGTCCACAAGTCTTAAAGTTGCCAAGGTTGAGGACCCCTGCCCTAAGCCATAACTTACTTAACCATGGATTACTAAATAAGCAATTGTCTAGAATCACACACAAATAAAAAGTCATATTTTATGTAATTGGTTTCCACAAATCTCCAGGCTCACATTGCAATGCCATCTCCCAAACCATAAGCCAGGAGAAGAGCGTGTCAGGATTAAATTCGGTACCAGTTGCCATACCTTGTCCTAACACACTCACAAGGCCAGCAATTGATGCTGTCCTGACCATTTTAATGTGAAACCAAAGGAAATCAATTGGTGGCTTGTATTGGCTTTGCTTTCTCTCCCTCTGAGTGTCACCTACTAGTAGAAAGCAACAATCAATCTGCCTAAAATATGTAAGTCAGAACTGGGTGATTGTATGTTGGTGCATGGAATGTATTCAGTGATCAGTCAAGTTGTCTTACCATCACATTTCAGACCTGGAGGTTATTCATGCTAGTGTTGATTCCATTATTTCTGAATACATATAGCATTCTTCTGGAAGAGCACTAAACCATATCCAACAAAACACTGGAGTGAAGCAGGAGGGAATGACTGATAACATGTGAGCCTTGTCTAGCACTGCAAGGTAATGGCAGTGCCAACAGCAAATCTATTTTTATTTTTGCAGCTAGCAGCACCTTGAAGGATTTTTTGTGGATAGCTGTAGAGTTGGAATGGAGTAGCAAAGTTACACTGCCCTCTCTCACCAGGTATCAGACACCAGGTATCTAAACTTGGAGTCTAAAATATGGCAGCATTTATACATCCAAAATCTATTATTTAAAGTATTAAAACTGTAAACCATATGCAGTTAAGTAAGAAATTTCTTTTGGGAAGATAGAAAGCATACATAGTAAAAAAAAAAACAACCTCTGAGAATACATTAATAAATGATTTTCATATTTATAGCTTTATAGTAAATGTCATTCTAATCAAAATGTACTTTTTTAAAAAATATATATTCTTTCTCTCAATTTATTGGTTATATAAATGTCACATCACTTTGCAATAATGTCAACAAAAAAAGGGGCTAACCATTTAACCTAGGATATTGCTCCCAGGGGACTGGGAGGAAGAAGACATAGTCCAGATTAACTACATTATATTTTTGCTATTGTTTATTTAGCTAATTTGAATAGATCTCATAATTTACACATCTCTGGAATAATTCCACTTTCCTTCCCATTCTTGATCATCTTCATTGTCCTCAAGGGGAGATGTTTCAACAGGGTGATGAGATGTACCCTCTAAGTCACTCTGGAGAGAAAATGTGCGGAAAAGATCAGATATGGGCTCTTCAATGTACGTTTCACTTGGAACAGTTTTGGGTGTGGGGGCATCTCTGATCCCATTGGACTGCTGACTCCTTCTCTCTGATTGCTTACTTCTCCCAGAGTGGTAACTTCTTATATCCTGAAAGATCCACAAATATATAATGCCTACATATACAGAAATTCACACAGATGCACCGATACACACTCTCACATATCCATGTTTCTTATCCACTAAATTGAATGTTACCAGGATCTATGTAGCTGCATTCATGTAGATCAGTGGTTCTCAACCTTTCTAATCCCGCGACCCCATAATATAGTTCCCCATGTTGTGGTGACCCCCAACCATGTATACATCACTGGGTGCCAGGGGCGTGGCCAAAGAAAAGGGGAAAAAATGGCGGACAGCCTTGTTTGGCGACCCCCGGGAAATGGTCGTTCGACCCCAAATGGGGTCCTGACCCACAGGTTGAGAACCACTGATGTAGATGCTACAGAACAGCGGTCTCCAACCTTTTTGGCACCAGGAACCTGTTTCATGGAAGACAATTTGTCCATGAACTGGGGGGAGGGATGGTTTCAATTTTGTTTGTTCGCCCACCGCTCACCTCCAGCTGCATGGCCTGGTTTCTGGTTAGGGACCTCTGCTTTAGAAGTATTAAATAATCAGGGTTGTATACTGTATATGGGTATCCCTTTACTGTATAAGTGTTTCATGGAATGTGCAACCCTCAGAGGGAGGCTAGCAAAATCAGCCGATTGGCAAAATTAGCACAAGCAATCCTGCTCTGTACATTTAGCTTAAAAGGGACCATCTCAGCTGTATGGAAGTCCATGGAAGATTCTCGTTGGAGAATTTTTATTGGCTTTTCCTAGGTGCATTGTGTTTTTTCTAGAAACACGAGTGTCGTACTGGACTGGCAGCAGGAAGATAAGAACTATAATCATCATCATTGACATATTTAATCTAGGGGTAGAGAGAACCTTGAAAAAGATTATGTAAATGACAGGAAGAAATCTGAGTCATGAATCATAAGTGCTCAGCAGAATCCTAGGGATGAACTAAAAATAATTGCAAATCATCTGTGCTGTGACTACTCCAAGATGCCCCTTGTAAGTATAATACAGCAATAGCTCATAAACAAAGGCTTTTCAGTATTAATCATATGGTACATTTATCATGAACCTTCATTATACCTTTTCATCATCTAAATGTACTTCTGCCATCATGTCCTCAGGAGCTGCATTTTGGGTTTCCACCGGAACAATCTCTTCCAAAAGAGTGGGCTCCACAGCAAAGAGTATGGCATCATGAAGAGTAGGAAAGAACCGGGCTTTAGTAACACATTGGTCAAAGAAATCACGATTTTCAAAAGTTTTTATTACAGTGGCTGTGAGATAAAAAGGCAGAAATATTACATGCAGTTGTATGATTTTTTTTAAAAAAGAGGGATTTATTTATTTATTTTACAGTTCACGCTATAGCCACAAATGCTGCATATAGGGAATTAATATGCCTATACTCACAATGGCAGGCAGCTATCAGGATTGAGATTCCAATGTTCTGAAAGATATGACAGAGCTATAAAAGGAAGCCATTATATGATAATTATTAATCATTTGACTTTCAGACTGAAACAGTTTGATAACAGAGCTTTTCCAAGCTGATAATAGGGACCAAGTCTGTTAGAGTTCCCAATTAGCATAGCCCTATGGCTGGGATTTTTCTTTTGCAGATTATCAGCTCAAAAATCTGGTTACGTTGTGCCCTTTATAATTGGGGGAGTTATATAAATTCTTATCTCTCTTTGGTAAACAATGTCATGTATGGGATGTCCAGAAATAATGCATCTATCTTACATTTCTAAGGCAAATATGTTTTTGCTATAACCTAGTTCACTTGGCAAATATATCTCAGGACAGCTTATCTCATAATAACAGCCCAACCCCTCATATTAAATTATTAATATTTATTGATAGTAAAATACAGCAGTTGATTACTAAATATCCATGTAACTCTACTGACAGTTCAAATAGAAGTAGTGTGGGTAAAATGGTGAAAATGTTTGCTTAACAGTATGTCTTTAAAAAGCAAATATATTTTTCATGAAAACTTGAGGCAGATCTATGTGGTGAAGGTGACTGGCTTCATAACCAGTCTAGCTAGTAGAAGGAATTGGATGTTCCTGTGGTTGATTTCCTATGGTGTATTGGGTTATTGATGAGGTAAATAACACTCAATCAAGGTCATATATTTTTCTAATCAAAAAGGAATCAATGTAGATCTGTCCTGGATTAGCTACTCAAATTATATATTAGGTACACATCTGTACTCATATTTGGATAAACTGTACTGTGTGCTTCCTGCATGAAATGTATCACAACTTTTGCTTTATGCTGACATGAGTATTACGGCCAGAATTTTATACTCTGTGATATCTAAACAGGAAAATTCATTCCACTGTGAGGCTTCTATTTTGTAGAGAAAATAAACCAATTGAAATTCATGTCAGAAGGTTGGCTAATGTTGAAAACCAGGTTTATAAAAATAACCACAACAAGAAGAAAGAAACACTCTGATTTATGTTTTCCTGTTATATGTATATATCTATATTAATTTCCTTTTTCTTTTAATCTCAGATGAATGCTTTTTGCTTAAGCTATAATAGTTTTTTACCTTTATAATAGTAGTAAGCAATTAATGAAAATCAAAGTTTTAGATTAATGAAATTATAAAACAATACAACAGACTTACCTCCCGTAATAAACAAGAAGCTTGTAAATCAACAAAGTGCACCATGCTAAAGTCTAAAACAATAGTGTGAATCCTATGCATTACATCCTCTGAGTCCAGTGTATACAACTGAGTTGTAGACCTTGTTAAACGAGGGTCTGATGAAAACCACATTTTATTCAGATCTGGCTCCCTCTTTGCAAAGCTATATGCCCTTTCTCTTGCTGGAGATTGGAAGTATTGTATATCAGAAGGGTCTCTTGTCCAGCGTACCAAGGCCAAAGAAGAAGCAGAGAATGATTCATTAGCAATATGAACTCGCTTTAGAAGTTTCTCTCTATAGGGTACCTAGAATTCAAGAGAGATAGAAATTCTAGAAGCGAATAGGGTGACACTGAAAGCTATTTTATATTTCCTATTGCTCTTTACAGACTCATCATTTTCATATGCTTAAACTTTGGGCCACTCTCAATTTAATGTCATATTTATCATTTCACTTACAAGAATTCTCAGAGTTCTCCCTTAGATATTGGAGAAAGGGTCTTAATTTTGGGGAGGCTTCCTTATCACCAAAAAGAAATTTTGGTGACAGGAAGGTTAAGGGAAAAAAAGTGAAATAGTAAGGGGTAAGATGGGAAGGATTAATTGAAGTCTTTCCAGTCCTCTGTCATGCCAAGATCATGTGAAGTGTTAATACCACTTTACAATTCCTTGGTAAGGCCACACTTGGAATACTGCATCCAGTTTGGATCACCACGATGTAAAAAAGATGTTGAGACTCTAGAAAGAGTATAGAGAAGAGCAACAAAGATGATTAGGAGACTGGAGGCTAAAACATATAAGGAACGGTTGCTGGAATTGGGTATGTCTGGTTTAATGAAGAGAAGGACGAGGGGGAGCATGATGGCAGTATTCCAATATCTCAGGGGCTGCCACAAAGAAGAGGGAGTCAAGCTATTTTCCAAAGCACCTGAAGGCAGGACAAGAAGCAACGGATGGAAACTAATCAAGGAGAAAAGCAACCTAGAACTAAGGAGAAACTTCCTGACAGTTAGAACAATTAACCAGTGGAACAACCTGCCTCCAGAAGCAGTGAATGCTCCAACACTGGAAGTTTTTACGAAGAGACTGGACAGCCATTTGTCCGAAATGATATAGGGTTTCCTGCCTGAGAAGGGGGTTGGATTAGATGACCTCCAAGGTCCCTTCCATCATCATCATCATCATTACTACTACTACTACTACTACTACTACTACTACTACTACTACTACTACTACTATTATGTTCCTGATTGGAGAAAGAATTTACAGGAGCCATTGAGTGATTCATACTAATTCCATTCTACTGAGAAATAATTTTTAGAAGTGGGCAGGGAAGGTCTTTTGCTTGCTGGTCCATCCCTGCCAGACTACTAAAGTTATGATCTTCCTTTCACATTCCACATACCATGGAAAAGTGGTAGGTTTGCTTTGGAGATCATTAGCAAAATCACACTTTAGGCAACGTATGAGTTATTATATGGAGGAAAAAGTAGGCTAAATTCATTTTTCGTATTCCCTACATAGATGGAGGGAAGGAGGAAAAGAGGGTCAGAATTAGTTGGGGGTTTGAATGTGCTCTGTTTGAATTGTTTTAACATGTATGGGGGGAGAGGGGAAGAGAAGGATTGGGTGCCCTATTGGTGCTTAGAGCAGTTGGTACTAAAATGCTAGAGTCCCAACTTCTCTTTCCAGGGGTGTGTGGTGAGGATACTGGGGGGTTCCCAGTCCCAGGTCTTCAGGGCCTTGTTTTAGAGGATGGGGCTATTATTGGGGATTGGGGAGGTGTTAAGCCATAACATTATGGTGGTATTGGTCAGGAGGAGATATGGTGGAGCTGCCCTCAGGGACAGCTGCCTTCTGCAACTCAGGTCTTTGATCTCAATCCTAATGCCCTATCAGTGGACTGTCAGCGGCCTGGCCTCTGGCTACTGGTACTGAATACCACGTTGGTCTGTATTAAGGCCTTCCTCATCCATGGTTTGATTGTTGATAAAAGAGTCAACCTGGCATATATTGCATCATCTTGTGCACCAGTTGTACCTGTTCCTGGATTGGCAGGCCCTGCTTACAGACTTCAGACTTCTCCAGCTCATTCTACTACTTACATTATTCATGACCTAGTCACCTCCAGATTGGGCTACTGCAGTGTACTTTATATGGGGCTGCCTTTGAAGAGTATCCAAAAGCTTCAGCTAGTAGAGAATGTAGCACCAGGGACAATTATTGCACTCCTAGAATAGCACATCTTATGCCTCTGTCTCATGAGCTGCATTGGTTGCCGGTTTGCTTCCAGATCCAAATCAAGGGGCTGATTTTAAATTTTAAAGCTCTTCGTGGCATGGGACCAGCTTATCTGAGGAACCACATCTCCCCAGTTATATCAACCTACCCCACTAGATCTGGCAGAGAAGAACTGCTGCGGGTATCATCAGCTAGGGACCTACCTTTAGTGGATCCCAGGAGATGCGCCTTCCCTACTGTTGCACTCGACTTATGGTTGTTCTTCCCAAGATTGTATTAGATTAGCTCCATCCCTTTTGACATTCTATAAGTCCCTAAAGACCTGGTCATGTTATCAGGTTTGGGATTCCTAGGGAACTGGAGATATGGTTAGATGGCTCCATCGCTGGGGTGACCATTTTATTCTCGCTCCTTTTTTAAAGTTTGTATATTTGTTTTTATACTATTTATCTTTTTAATGTGGATTGTTAGAATTTATACCTATTGTTTTATATTTGCTGCTTTATTTGACTTGTACACCACCCACGGTCACTTTTTGTGACATGGGCAGCTATACAAATTTGATAAGTAAATAAATTAAAAAAAACTATTTTACAGCCTATGGCTGAAGGCTGTATGTGTAAGAAAATGTAAGAAAGTTGAAAGCATTTTTGTTAATGCTGTTTATCTAAGAATCAATAAAGGTTTTGAATAAACATGTACATGCACACAAAGAAATGCCTCTGACCCTGGGTATCGGCTCAGGTGGATCACAAATACAGGCGCAGTTTAAGTCTTTGTTCTGTCCTGTCATACTGGACATACTGATTGAGGTCAAGGCTCGTATCTCATTTTCATCCAGAGGCACTGCCTTCATATCCATCTGAAACAGAGAGATGGTTAGACTGCTGTTTTTGGGTGTGCAGAGCTTCCGAGCTACTTCATTGGAAGTGGATAATTTACCTTTCTCAAAATGTACTTTTTGAAATGTTTCATGTTTGCAAATGAGATAGAAGCACAGCACTGGAATATTTTCACACCCTGAATCTCTATGGCCTAAAAAACAAACAAAATAAACCTCTTTAGATGCAGAGCCTTTTCAAAATATTACCAAATGGTGTGGATGTTTTTTGGAATTTCAACCAATAGTGTGTATTCTCAAGCTTTTTTATTTGATTATTGAACATAATGGATATTATCTTATTATCTCCTTCTTGAAGGTACAAGAGGGCAATTTGACTAAGGATATGTGCTTGGAAACACACACAGAGAGACCCATACACAAACACACAGAAACACTCTTGTCCCTGCTAGGGAAAAAACAACAATGAAATTATGAACCGCTGACTCTAGAAATTCTCTAATAGAATTTTATTACAGAAAGAGAAAGATAATATTTTAACAAGTATCTTAACAGGTATTTTAAGATTTAAGTAAGTAACTATTTTAACAGTTTTATTGAAATTATTTGCTAATGAAATAGCAAAAGCAATAGCACTTTTCTTATATACCACTTCACAGTACTTTACAGCCCTCTCTAAGTGGTTTACAGAATCAGCATATTATCCCCAACAATCTGGGTCCTCATTATATCGGAAGGGTGGAAGGCTGAGTCAACCTTGAGTCTTGAAATGGAAGTTTGTATAGAAAATCAATTTGCACTTTTAACATAATCTAATACCAGGTACATTTAGGCACATAAAACAGCACTTAGATAATGCATAAATCAAATACAATTAGCATTCATAAAATATATTTTCATGGCTGATATTAGGTTAAGAAGTTGATGGGAAGTTGTGCACATTACAACCATTAATTATAGTCTGTTAATTATAGTCTGTTTTTTCAGTATGGATGCCAATAATTTTGCTTTATGAAAGTTGTCATTTCTTTACCATTCATAATCCTGATAATTATATATAATGCCCTAACAAAATAGGAGTCAAGGCTCAGTTAGTGGCTAAAAAACTCCAGCTTAGCTTGATGGACTTATCTGAATGGCAGAGCTGGAATGCAGAGAATATACACAAACATCTGTCATAAGTGAACATTGTGAACTGTGGAGATAAGAGGAAATCCATGTCTTGTCTTGAAATCGTGCAAAAGATTTACAATGCACTTGGGTATACAGTAAATTCTAAGCTACTTTTCCTGCTCACTCAGAGACTGTCAAGTATTATGGGTATCATTTGATGAAATGCAGTTAAAATAGTTTCTAATCATGTTCATCACTATCTCAGGGTGAGCCTGACACAATCATTTCTGAAATTAATTTATCTGGACCTGTCAGCTCTTGCTATGCTGGTGATGGAAAATAGCAAAAAAAAAAAGCACATATTTTATCTTCCTCTTACCTCACTGTAGTCAGAGAATCTGCGATAAATATTTGTGTTTGGAATCTGACCCAATGTCATTATCTTCATTCTGAAACAAGGTATAAATTGGATCTATTTTCTCTTTAGAAATATAATAAAACCAATGGATCAAAATTTGCCAACCTATTTCGCCCTGGAAATATGTCCAAAATATTTTTCTTAGAGAATAAGGAGAAACAATGATAAACACAAATTGTGTGTATATATATATAATGTTATCCTCATCTAGATGAAGTGTAGACTCCTTTGTATTATATTTCTCACTTTTATATCTATATTAATGAAAAAAGCTCATTTTATGAAATATAAAGAAGCCTTGCTACTGCAGAAAAGAAAATATATTGTTGTTGGTTTGACACTGAAAGATTCTGCATTAGGTTATTAGCATTCACTGGTGTTGATTATTTCTTTTAAAGATCTGCATATCGTACAAGAAACTTGACAAACAATGATGTATGGGACTGCTTAGTACCCCTGTTGCTACATGCTGTTTTGATACTTGTTCCAAGTACAGTAATTTGTCACAAAGTATAATAATCCTGCAGCTAATTATTCTAACAAATGAGAATGGAGTAGAAATTGGGAACTGGATTAGATACATGTATGACTGCCCTGGCAAGTTCTGTGGAGTCAGCGGTGCAATATTACTTCACTTGATCTTGAAACTATCCCTCTGTTGATGTAAGCTAGGATTGCATTAACTTTTTTTGGCAGCTGCAGGATACTACTGACTCATACTTAAATGGTGGTCTACTAGAACACTTAGATTACAGTTGCTACTGTTAAGCCAGATACTGCCTATTCTTATATCTGTGCATTTGGTTTTTCTCCCCTATGTGTAGACCCTTATTTTTCTCACCACTCTATTGCATTTTATTGGCTAGGGCCCAGTGTTCAAGTCTGTCAAGTGATGCATATATAATAAAAATGCAGCATATATTTTTAATACAATATAGAATTCTGGTAGTGGGAGGAATTTAAAGTCTCATTAACAGATGAGACTTTGTTCCAAAGTTCCCCCAGTAAATGGTTCTTGTTATAGGCTGCCATCAATCAGCCCCAACACCTTCTAGCTTTCCAAACAGGAACTTTTTGTTCTTTCGATCAAGAGTTTCTTCTAGAAAAACAGGACTAAAAGTACATTGGAACTTCCTGCCCAAACACCAGAAAAACAAAACTTAACAAAACTGGTGTAAATAGTCCTGGATTTACGACTGGCCATTTATCACTGTTTAAAGTTCTGACAGCCATGGAATGGGTGCATTATAGCCGGTAAACAATCTCCAGCCCTCATAAATGGTTGTGCTGCCCCTCCCAATCATGTGATCACATGTCAGGAGGGTCAACATTACAACCTCTGGACATGCAATGTTCTGCAGTGATGTGACGGCTATTCACAATGCTTTCTGCAATGTTTCCAGCAAAAAAATGCCCATTCATATGAATGGGTTTGCTTAATAACCACTATGTTTGCTTAACAACCACCACAAAAAAAGACTGGAAAATTACTTTTGGTTATGTGGGTGCCTCAATTTACGACTGTAACGACTTACCACCAGCTTTCTGGATATGATTGTAAGTCAAGGACTACCTGTATCTGTTCTGAAATACACAGACTTACATATGGGTTATGTTTTAATGAGAAATGTACTTATTTACCCAACAGACCCAGAATTCTAGGTATGAAAAAGGAACATATTGGAAAAAGAAAATATAGGGAAAGCACTGGAAGGCAGCAATCATCAGTTAAAGGAGTCTCTTATTACCACCTGGAATAAGGTTTTAGGTTTTATTATATGTTCAGAGTTCATTATAGAGAGGGCAGCTGAAGAAAGAGAGTCTGAGCATCCTATTTAGATGCTGTTTCCTTTTTATTTGTTCTCTAATTTCTCAATTTCATAGAATGCAAACGATAAGGGAAAGCCAGCATTTTGGGGCAGATGTTTCTTACAATATCTAATCAAGCAAAATGCTCCATCTCAAATGTCCTGACGATAGTGAGCAAGTCAGAAAGGATCCAGCAGTTAAAGCAACCCACCTAACAACTTTGGTAGAAAGATACAAGCACAGTGTAGCTTTTACAGCTCTAGTTTTATATAAATGGGATTATACAGGACACATTTTTTGGGAAGGCAAGGTCTTTTAACATAAAATAAAATAGCTTAGAGCAAATATGTTAATTATTTCTGGGGTAATGTTTGGTATAAATTCCATCTATTTTTCATATAGCCACAGAGCAGAGAGAGAGAAAGAAAGAACAGGTGTTAGAAGAAGGGCATGAAATGTAAGAAAGGATTCAGGGGGAAAAAAACCAAGGATACTATCTTCTCAACTTCCTAGTGTTATAGAGCAAAATCAGATGTTAACATAAGTTACTATCAAGTCATTATATTGAATTATTAATGTCAGTTTTTCAAATACGTTTTCAAACATGCAAGATTTTCAAGGAAGTATGTGTTAGTATATAAACCAATATAAGAGGTCTCTCTTAAAATCATTTGGATAAAAAATGGGACAGGAATGGCACTGAGCAACTAATATTACTCCATCTGATAAAAGAGATCCAGAATTAAAACATTTCCAACAAATGGCAGATTATTATTTGCTTGATGATGGAGGGGAAACTTCATTAAGTATTTGGTTTTGTTACTAAGTTATTGTTATCATCAAATATTTTTTCTTAAAGTTCAAGTCAGCTTACAGTAGAAGGATCAGAAAGCATTAACATTAGAACTTGTCATGTGGAGTAGGACAACAATATGGTAGGAGAAATACCTGTGCGCTCTGACACTTATTATAAAAAAGGCAAATCCCAAAGAAATTCCTAAGCCAATATCCAGACCAAGGCAGAGGACAACTAGAAAGGTCACAATCCAAATTCCCTTTAAAAGATGAAAACAGGAACATTATTATTAATAATTTAGCAATCATAATTTAAATACCCATAACTCTAAAGCAAAATACTTTGTTGGTATGATAAAGACCTTGCAGTTTAACTGTAACAGTTATTCTAAGAAGGATTATAACTTGTACCACAATACACATAGACAGCTCCAAACAAAATACAGTATGTATCACATTAAGAAAAGCCAAATTATATACATATTTTAAAAAGAGGCAAGGAAATCTACAAAACATAGCCCAAGGAAAATACTCTCCTTATTCACCCTGACCTCTCTAGCACTCCCGGGAAGCATCATAGCTTTGGAACTTAAGTTTGTATCTTTTTTTTCTCTCAGAAGGTGAACATATTTCTAAACAGAGCATTGTACTACTGTGCCCAGATGTTTTATGGACTCTATGTGAGATGTAGAGATATTAATGAGAATATACCATGCTAAATGTCCATTGTCTGATTTTTAAAAGTTAAAGCAATATCAAAAAATTAAGATAGGGCAGGGAGCCTTGTGACTCTCAAGAAAGATGTCTCATGGACACCATTGGGAACATATTCTTAAGGAGTAGTTCCCACTGCAGTTCTGCTCCACTAAAGCATGCCTCAGGGACTAGAGCATTCACATGGAGGCACAGGGTCCTTTTGATTAGCCAGAACTTGGTTTCTCCTGCTAGATGAATAGTGTTTTCTGTACAATAAATACTCTCACAATTTCTGTGAGAGTATTTATAAGAGGTTGGATATAAGAGGTTCTGGGATTTTATTTCCCGTGGCTTCAGCATAAGCAATGGTCACTTGTGAAGTTAAAGCTTAGTGGTAAAAAGCAAAAAGCATTTTGCTCATAGCTAATGTTCTAATTCATTTATTTGGAGGTATCACTTTCTAAGAGACTGATATGGAGACAGTTTTTGTTAAGATAGCTCTTTGCTATCACTGGAGTATTTTGGTCAAGGCAATGATGAATAGAACTATAAAGTAGATCTCATGAAGTTGTGAGATCCATCAACTTCCTCAATGGGGATGCTATCTTGTTAAGCAAGGCTAACAACTAAGGCTGGAGATTCAAAAAGTTGAAGAAATTCTGCTCAAATTAATGCTGCAATGATATTGCGGTGGTCTAAACCAGTGGTTCCTAACCTTTTTGAACGAATCGCCCCCCTTGAGCCAATGAGAAAGTTGTCATCGCCCCCTCCCCCAACATAACCTCTCAATCACAACATAGGAAATGTTTATGCAAACACTTGCTTTGTTTTCTTTAAAATTGTCATCAGGACATATCAATGCAAATAATTTATTTCCAGTCTTTTTCCCATATCTGAACTGTGTGAAAAATTTTGGTGCCACCCATCACTTTATTCCCAAACTTCGTGATACATGTATTTCATTATTATCTTATTTATTCAAGACACTTAAATGTAATGACCACTGAAAACAAAATTCAATTGCAAGAAAGGGAAATGCCCGAAAAGAAAAACAGTAATATTTAATGATTGAATTACAAGTGAAATTTAAGACGCAAAAAGAAATATAAAAAGGGTAGAGGCTGCTGCACAACACGCATGAAGATAAGCAATGCGTATTCACATATGTATGGTGTTCTGTACTGAAGCTAGCTGGAGGAACATTTAGCGAGCGATCTGATGTTTTTGTATGACAGATATACAGCGATTCACTGTATGAAAAAGTCTCAAAAGTATCCCCAAAACTTCTCGCTCCATCGCTCCTATATCGCCCCCTCTTCATTCCTTCGCCCCCACGTCGCCCCTTTTTGTTCCATAGCCCCCCTGAAAAATGAAATCGCCCCCTGGGGGGCGATATCGCCCAGGTTAAGAACCACTGGTCTAAACTACTGTGTGTTGCAGTCGCAATATGCAATGGGTCTTAACTGAAATACAAAAATGTCAACAACTAACTTAAAAATCAAGGATATATCTTCCAATAGCTATTGAGCCTAGAGCTGTCTCAGTAAGCTGGAATCTTCAGATAGATTTCAGACATAAATTTTAAGTATTAATACACATATTGTAATATCCTCTACAAACATACTTAAAATATTTATCATTGAAGAAAGTACACAGTGAAAAACCAATTAACCTGCTCACCTTTGGTGCCACAATTTTGATCTAATCTGGGGCACCTGAAAGGTTTTTCTTTTCTTTTCTTCTTCCTACTTCTGTCTTTATAAAACTGTATATTTAACCACTATTATCTTACCTAATTTTGTCACAAATCCATTCTCTTGACTCCAAGTTACAGGGTATTTAGCATACTGGCTCTGTCCAATGGTATGCTAATTAATCTGCTATTTGGTTTAATCTGACTGCCTAGCATTGTTGCATAGATCATGCAAAACTTACAAAGTCATATTTATCTTGTTTCCACAGGTAAGGGACATCCATAAATTTTTCAAGAAATGGGAACATGTTGACAAGTACAATGGCAGCCAGAACAGCCTAGGTAAATAAAAAAATGATACTGTTGCCAATTCTAGATATTATACAAATATATATAACATTCTAAATGGTATAATAGCAATTAAAATATTTCCATAGAAGTTAACAGCTTGATTAGCTAGCAGAATCATGGTGTTATATATGTTTGCAAAAATTTAGATCTTATCATTATAGTTACATATTCTAATTTTCCAGAATTAGGTGACCTCCAAGTGCCAAGTTCTTGAAGAAGTCCTTCATCTATTATTATTATTATTATTATTATTATTATTATTATTATTATTATTATTATTATTATTATTATGAATGAGTAATTTACAATTAGATTCACAGTTAAGACTTGTGAAAACTTAATAATTCAAGCCTTAACCAAGAACCTAAGACTTATTCAGGTGGCATCTAAGAATATAAACAGTTCTAGGCAGGATTTTTTTTTTGTAAAATTAGGGTGTTCAGGTTTTATACATTCAATATTTTCAGATATTGAAGAAGTCCTTTAGGTAGCATTCCAAGGATTCCAGTCACCATTGGTAATAATTGCAAAGAGCAGTTTTACTTGGAACAACTTACATCCTGTGATGATACATCAGACATCAATATCTTCCTATCCCACATCCTTGGGAAGGACATGCTAGGTGGATAAAAATGCCAAATCCAATCTAAACATCTGGCTGAGTATGATGGACCATAATCATATATTATTATAATAGTTCATTGCATAGTCAGCCAGATTTTTAGACTGGATTTTATCTTTTATCCACTTACTGAGTCCTTTTCAAGAATCAGGGAGAGGCAGATACTGTTATTTAATAATATTAAAGGTATCGTTGTAGGATGTAAGCTGTTCCATTGCCTTTTGCAATTGATTGCACCAGAAGGCAAGACAAGAACCAAAGGATGGAAGCTAATGAAGGAGAGGAGCAACCTGGAATTAAGGAGAAACTTCCTAACAGTGAGAAAAATTAACCAGTGGAACAAATAAACGATCTTTTCTGTAATAAAAAGGGAGTTCTTTGGATAAAAATAAAAATGCACAACAAATTTATGTAATTAACCATTAAATCTTACTTTAAAATTTAGTAAATAGGCATAGGAATTTCCACCACATAAACAAAACTTTATAAAGGTCATAGACCAAATTCAGTGAAAGTTTCAGACAGATAAACATTTATACTCTTAGTATACTCCCAATATCTATCAGTATCTCTAAAACAGATACTTTAGATAGCAGCTATGTAGATAATATGGGAATCTCAGATACAATTAATATAGTTAATACAATTAATATAAATTGTATTTGTTTGACTAGGTATATTTTTTAGCATCAGCCAAAGAAACCTTTCTCTCGCTTTGGAATAAATTTATAACAAAACAGTAAAAAACATAGAAAACCAAGTTCCCTAGATTCAGTGTGATCTGAGCCACAGAGGCATAATTTCTACAGACAATGGGACCTTTACCGAATCTGTTTTCCAAGACTGCCAAGGGGAGAGAAGCAAGAAGGTCCATTGATAGTTATAGTAGATTTAAAAGGGATGAATCATTTTTTAAATCCAAAACAATGAGCTATTTGGAAATAGCTCAGACATATGTCTCCTTAATTCACTGAACAATACGAAAGAGGAGGAAATACAGTACAATCATACAAACAAGATTTTGTTATTATAGTTAAATTCAATAAAAGTAATTTTAATTTTACTGTGGAGTTAAAAGTTAGGACATTTCCTGGTCTGTTCCACCTAGTGGATCTGACATCTTAAGAATTTTGCAGCTCATAAAAAAAAATCCCCCAGTGATATAGAATGAATGTATATTCTGATGACTTAGGTTTCTAAAGAGAACAATATTCCTTTCCAGCACAACATTTATATATCCAAGTTATTCATATTTTCACTTTAACTTACATTTGGAAGGGACTGGAAGTAATACCCCAATTTTAATCCTGTCACCAGCATTAAGGAAATTCCAATCAGAGCTGCAAGCTAAATTTTTGTTTTAAAAAAATGGCATTAGAATGTTAATCTGATGTTGATAATTCTTTCCCATATTTCCTAAGTCAAAACAGTCCACCCAACTCAGTCTATTTTCTTCAGAACATATACAGAATGATATGTACAATGTTGAGTAATATGATGAAATTTCAACTAGCACCACATCAAAAAGATTCTATTAATTTAATTAAAAGATCTACTAAAATGCCTGCCAATTCCTTATTTTGACCTTGGATTCCTAAATCTATTCATGACTTGCCTTCAATAGTGTTTACTGTTTTGAAGTTAGATGATCTTGACTTGGACTCAAGCTCTTTCACTATGCCAGGGATTCTCAGATTTGGAGGTAGGATATCCTACAACTAACTTGGAGGGGAGTGGGGCGATTAACAGATTTTTAAAAATCTAATGAGGCATATTCAGGCAAAACCCATTTTAAACTTTGCTCCCTGTTTTCCCCAAGCAAAGTTTTGGCAGCACTCATGATTTATCTGTATCCTGCCATTTATTTCTTATTTTGTCTGCCCAAGCTAATAGGCGGTAGTGATATATAGATCAAAATGTAATTGTTACCATGTACATTGTGTGTTTATTTTTTAGGTTTATTCATTGGAGAAGAGTGTCACACAATTTCATTTACCATTTTAGAAGGGAGAATACCTCAAATTTTGAGAATTTGATTGAACCAGAAAACCATATCCAGATGCAAAATCCAGGAGACAACAAGATGGCAGATAATACGGAACGATACATTTAACACCATGAAACAATGACATCTGCCTATCTCAGCTCTTTAGGAAGGACTCAATAAGTGGATAAAAATGTTACATCCAATCTAAACAACGGGATTATTAGGCAACAAAACACAATACCAGTAATAATATATAAAGACCAGGAGAAAACATTAGAATGACTTGACAAAAGAAAGCAAAGATGGGGTGCAATTCCAAAACATTTGGAGCACCACTTGTACTCCATCGGCACTGACAAAATCACTATCAGTCAATTGCAAAATGCAACTTCACTTGGAACAGCTTACATATTTGACAATACTTTTAATATTATTAAACAACAACATCTGCAGATCCAAGTCCTTGAGAAGGACTTGATAGGTGGACAGAAATGCCAAATCCAGTCTAAATATGTGGCTGACTATGCAGCCAACCATAGTAATAATAATAATTTATTAAATGTGTATGCTGCTTGACTCCAAGTGACTGGGTGGGTTACAAATTCACTTAAAAACAAGGAATTAACAAAGAAGGCCCAGAGTCACCTTATAGGAGGAATACAAATTTCATAAATAATCTCTAAAAATTACAATCATTAAAGCTTAGTAAACAACATGTTGTCTGGGTTCACATTAATAAATGTGAATACTAAATTAATAATTAATAAAACCTATAAAAATACCGGTTTCAGTTATGTTAAAAAAAGTCATAAATAAATAAATGCAAAATAAAAATAAAGGTGGCAGAAATGGCAAAATCGGAGGAAAACAAAGAAAAAAGAAAAATGGCCTGGACAAAGGGCCAGGTGTTCAGGGGTGTTTGAAACACAAATAAGAGTAAAGGCCATTTGAATCGGGGGGGGAGGGGCTCATTTCAGAAGGAAGGTGCTGCTACAAAGAAGGCCTGTTTTCCAATAGATGCTGTTGTGAAACCAAAGGAACCTGGAGTGCACCAATCTTGCCACATCGGTTCAGCCAGTTTGATAGTGTTAGATTTGGTTGATATTTTCTATAGCTTTTTTCACTACTATCTAATGATTTTCCAGAGTTTACAAACTAGATAGTGTATTTCTTTGTTCAATATTGGATCAATTGCCTCATCCCTTACATACTGAATTGCAAATTCTTAAAACGTCTCTAGGCCACTAGTTCTCAATCTTTTCTTCACCATGGACTCCCTTTAAATACCTTTTGTGGCCATGGACCATGGCCACAGACACCCAAGACTTAACTCAAGATTTAAATCATAACATTTCTTCAAGCCTTCACGGACACTCATGCCCCCCCCCCCCAGGTTGAGAACCATTGCTATTTCTGTTTCTTCATCTATTTCTTCATCTATTATTTAAATGTTTTTAAAAACTGTAACATGTAATTCTTGTTATGTTTTTAACATTTGCCTAGATGGCAATAGTGTACTTGGTCAATGTTTCTTGATTTCAAGGATGCAAATGTTACCAGCCTTGTTTATTTTTTGGATGAGAGACTAAGGAACATCACACTAATGAGTTATGCTGAGAAGTCAAAAAGACATCTTGACAGAGAACAAGTGTAAAACATTGCCAAGAAAACATGTCAATGAAGTTACCAGGACTTGAGCTTGATCTGAAGGAGAGTTCACCTATTCTTCTGGCTTAAATACAATTATATTTTATAATAATGCTAATCAAAATTTATGGTGGGTTAATTTGCAAACATGTAACTAAAGAAGCCTAATGGAGTTAAAAATATTTCTGCCCAAGACTGCTGATGCAGACAACATCTCCACTGGGACTGATAATAATGCACCTAGGGCAGCCTTTGACGTGACAATGCAAATTTTCAAATGCTGTAGTTATTTAATCATTTGCTCATGCTATCAAACTCTGTAAAGCACCCCCTTTGCATGGTTCAAACAACAGAGAAAACCATGTTCTAACAAATACACCTAAATCAGTATCTGAAACAAGCACTGGATCTAACTCACCTGTGTTTTTCCACCAGTCTTCTCCTGAATAACAGTTGTAGAAATTGCACAGCTGACAGAAAAAGTCTTAAAAAATGAACTGAAGACATTGCATAGACCAATTGCTATTAAATCCTGTACATGATAAATAAAGATAAACTGACTGATATTCAGATTACTGTACTGTGAAACATACAGTATGTATTACAAATAGTTTCCACTAGAAAAAATCAGGATGACAAACTTCAAAATATCAATATATTCTTATCATTTGTAACCAAAAGGTGTTGCTGTTTTAGGGAGACATTCAGTCATTACAGTTAATGTATCTCTTAAATCATTTTTTTTCTTTTTGGAAAAATGGCTCCTATTGCTTTCTTGAATATGCTTATATTTGAACAATGCCTGGAGCACTCAGAGAAGTCCACAGGGAGAATCAACAGCATCACAATGGTGGGCGTGACTTCAGCAACCAACGTCCCATTCCTTTTTACATGTATGTAATATGTGCAATGCATGTTCAGAAGGAGGTGGGCTTGGTTTGCCAAGTTCTATCTGCAATTGTTGTTGACACACCACTGTGGGTATGGAAGGATTTCTGCCTAATCATGTTCAAAATGTGTACAGTATAGTCCAGTGTGGCAAGTTTAAGACGTGTGGACTTCAACTCCCAGAATTCCCCAGCCAGCATGACCAAGAATTAGATTTCCATTAATATCTCTGTTCTAATACTTAAAGCCATAGTTTTAACGGGCAATTACTTTTGTTGTTGTTGTTCCTTTTTGTACTTGTAACTTTGATATGATTGTATATGTTGTAATAGGCTTAAAGTCTTTCAGAATAGTTTAATTGCATTACTGATGCTGTCACACTTTTAATCATGACTAGGGACTTATTTAATTTAATTTACTTAATTTAGGTCTGCCTGACTCCAAACAACTTTAGGCGGCTTGTAATATAGTAAATAGATTAACATGCAATACAATTTTAAACCAAACCAACAAAAAATAGATAGGAAAGCAGATAAAATACAAGATGGCAAATCTGGCCATGATGTGGGAAGAGCCAGGTCTTCAAAGCGCTCTGGAACACTTATTACTGAGAGCCACGTGGATATCGTGGATATCGGGAGAAACTCATTCTGGGGGCAGGCCTCACAACAGAGAGGCACACCTTCGGGCTCCTGAAAGATGACACTGTTTAGTTGAAGGGACCAAAGTGTGCCAATCTTATTAGTTTGTATTGGCTGACAGACATCACAGGAGATAGACATTCCTTCAAATTACAATTCCTCTGCCACGTGGTGCTTTATAGGTCAAAGCCAGCACCTTAAATCGCAACCAAAAACATAGCGGATGATGCATACTAGTCACTGCCCATGCTGCTGCATTTTAGACCAATTGAAGCTTCTGAGGATTTGCTCCACACAAAGTGCATTGCAACAGTCAAGTTGTGAGGTGGCTAGGGCAGGAATGACTGTCTGGAGGGCCTCCTGCTCCAGAAAAGTGTGCAACTGGTACACCAGAGGAAGCTATGCAAAGGCTTTTGATTAATCAGTTAAATTAGTGAAGAATTGCTTTGTTTTTCATATTTATCTCAATGTGTCCCAATGTATCTCTAATGTCCTTGGAGACAAATAGCAACTACAGAGTTGCATTCCTTCCATAGACCTGCAAATCTATGGAAAAGTATATTTAATTATAATTGCTTTATTCTCACAGAGCTCCATCAATTTCTTGAAGTTTCTGCCTTCCGAAATATAACTATTACCTGAGTGTGTCTGATATGATAGTTGTGAATACTTGCATACTTCTTTCCCACAAAAATGAGAAGGAAGTAGCTTACTATTGCCAGAGATGAAGCATGTAATATAAGTTTGCCCAGTTTTGAGAAGACAGGTAGTGTAGGCTTCAGAAACCTGAAACAAAAGAGATGCTTCAGTCCTATGTAGAGAACATACTTGAACACTCTGATTAGGATATATAAGCTGTAGCTCTATTTTTTTACTGATTTATTACCATCTCTTTCAACCTACAATTTTGTGCACCAAGCAAGTAGTGCTAATAATAAATAATAAATATGTGCATGCTTGGGTTTCAAACACTGACTTTTATGTACTTATTGTTAGCTATCTTAGAAACCTTTTCTGAAAGCTAAGACAAATAAACTTTAAATAATTTAAAAGTTTAAATTGAGTAATGGACAATATTTTTTCTCTAGTAGAACATAGAAGGTTTGGGCAACACTTTAAATTTCATCTCCAAAGAGTGCTTTGGATAGTGAACACAACACCACCCTGCACTCATTAAAGCAGTTGTCTCTTTTCCAGAGGTCACACAACTACCCTTCCCAGCTGCCATGTAATCCTGGAAAGGAGAGAGGTGTTTTAAGGTGTTACACAGACATCCCCATGTCTTCCAAAGCAACTTTCAGAGATCAATTTTGACATTTTACATAGTACTAAAGAGTCAATTTAGAGTTGCCTGAACCGTGGGATGAACAGCAAATAAATTTGATAAGTAAAATAAAATAATACATTATTATTCTTAGCTCATTTTAAGAAGCATGCAGTAATTACGGCTCTTTATGAATACTGATAGTCCACACATGACACTGATGGCTAGAACAAAGAATCTTTACACTGTTCAGTAAATGTTAACTCCTGTCCTCATTGAGTACCTCTCAAAGAGAAATTATATAGAATATTTCAACACTGTTGGCTTGACTAAATGCTGTTGGTATGCACATGACCACAAATAGAGACAGCAATGTAGATTTGAGTGACAAAATTGAAATATTTATAAGAATAAGATTTCAGGTTCATGCCTTGGTAAATGTTTCACAGGAATTTCAAGCTGGTGTATTATTACCAAGAATACTTCTATACCCAGTTCTTCAATTTCAACATTATTTCCTTTCCTCTTTCTTATTTTATTATTTTAATTTTGGAGGTTTATTATTTTTTCTTCTTTTACCCCACCCTGCATATCTTAACCTGAAAGGGAATAGTATGATAAGTACATATTTATACATGTATGAAAGATACATAATATCAGATTTAGATTACACACTTGTGGGGAGTCACTGAAAAAACTCCCTGACTGGATTCAGCATGTAGATGAGTTTGGGTAGAAAGCATTGTAAATACAATGATCTGTAAAAGAAAAAAAAAATGCATTCTATATTATTTGAGATGAATATTCTTTATTTAAATTTATTCTTTATTACATTTGTATACCCTCAAATTCAGCCTTGATTAATGGCAATTACAATGTCAATATCTATCTTGGCATTATGGACGAATAATTGTCCTGTTTTGGCCAGACATTGAAATAGACACTAATAATATTCAGTGGTATAATGCCAAACAAGACAGACTTTTGATTAGTTACTACAACCAGTAGGACACAATCACCTGTGCAAAGATTAGTATTGGGAGGGAAAAAACAGTTTCATGGTCAGAAAAGCATTTTCCCCCACAGCAAGTTTCTCTGATACTGAAGCTTAAGGCCGAATGTTTAATGTTTAAATCTCCATTTCCCAAGAATGCATTTCTAAGGACAATAATAGACCATAACACTATTAGATAAAATTGAGTTTATCAGAATCATGAGCAAAATGTTCTTGCTGTCACTGCAATGAAGGCAAAGAAGGGATGATGTGGTGTCCCCTGAATTTGAGGAATGTGATAAAACAAATTCCTCTATTTTATCAGAGGACCTGAAATAAATTATAATAAGAGACAATGCTTTTTTTTAGATGCAGCATTTCCTTATCCTTCTTTGTGGAGAACTTAAGGCCAATATAATATATCCAAAATAAAGGAATAGCAAAATTTTTAAAATGCAGTTCTGTACTAAATAAACACAATGTTTGAAGGAAACTATTTCATGGATCCCTCTATGACTTCAAGTCATTTACAAAACTGTCACTTTGGGGGCATAAATGTAATTTTGTTGAAAAATGTCAGATATTTACCAAAACAAGTTCCATTGGAAACTCAATCGGATAATGTTTATAAGTTATTTTAATGCATTTGCTGACTCTCAGCAATAGTAAAGAAAGCAAAAACAGCAGGATACTGGTGGAATTTGCTTTAGGGAGACCCATGCAGTAGTATACCAAATTCTGAAAAAAAGAAAATGTCAACAAAATGTTCAGAATTAATTCTTGAATGTTAATTTGCTGCTAATAATATCAAGGTAAACATCAACATAGTCTTTTCAATGACATAGTTTTTTGCTTCAGAAATAAATATAGCTGCCTGTCTCATGCAGATGACTCTGGGGAGCTTACAATTAAATAATAAACAGTACAAAACATAAATAATAATAAAAAGAGCCATATAAACAAGACAGACATTAAAAACAATTAAGAACTAAAAACCATTTCATGGGTTCCACGCCACTCTTTAATCCTTGGGCCAGATAGTAAAACCAGGTCTTCAAACCCTTCTAGAAGGTTCTTCCAGAGGCCAGCCTATCTTAGAGGTAATTATTTTCCATAGGGCAGCAGAGAAGGCCCTCGTCCTGGGTGTTACCAAATGACACTTGTTGAGTCCGTGGCGGGAAAACAGACACGAGAAGCAGCTGGAGTTCTCAGTTTCATTTATTCAGCGTTCAGCTTACAGGAAGATGGCTTCAGCCTCGCCCAAACGCCTCGCAGCCTCTTATATAGGCAACTCCCGGGTAAATGGGTTACTTTTCCCGCGCCAGCACCCGCGCATGCGCACGGCGCTGGCGACAGCCTGTCTGGTCCCGGGCAGCTTTGCACCTGCCCGGGACTGCCTGCAAACGCCCGAGCCGTTTGCAAGGCTCGGGACATAACACCCCTTTCCCCCGGGCTAAAACTACTACCAACATACAACATTTATTTTATATGACATTTTGCTCCCCAGTGCTCCCACTGATTACTGGCTTTTGCCTTGCCAGCAATGTTATGTAATCTTCTAGATACTTAGGAGATTTCTTTGCTCTCTGTGACCTTCTTAGCTCTGGGTTACTGGCATAAGTCCCCTGACTGGAGGGAGGCGTGAGCCTGTTCTCTCTATTGTGCCCTGGTGTCTTCCAAGGACTGTGCCCCGATGCCTGGCCTGCTTGCTTGCCCACCGGGCTCGTCAGGCCAGGGCTTCTGTTACTTTGTGACCTGGTTGACCTACCTAGCTGTAGACCCTCAGGCCCCTTGAAGTGATAGCCGCTGCTGGGCGTCTCTGTAGAACCTCCTAGGTCAGTCCAAGACCTGTCAGGAGGCTGTCCATTCCCTGAACCCCATTCTGTGTTCGGGCTCGTGTGGGTTTCTGTACTTTCCCAAAACTCAGGTGTTCCCTGATTTGTGCTAGGGTGTTGTAGTCGGGACTTGGTTCCTCGACTAGCTCTGTGTATGTTTGACCCCCTGTAGGATTTGGGGTAAGGTCAGGCCAACCTTGGGAATTGTGTGCCAGCTCTCTTGCGGGGAATGATTTGTTGGGATGCCCCCGGGTATCCTCCGTTGCTGGAGTGCTGTGTGATGTGTGTGGAAAGTGAGTATGCCCCCGGGGTGACTCCCTGGCTGGAGTAGGCGTGAGTGCCTGTTGTGTGGGTAAGCTCCATGACTTTCTTTTCGGAGCAATTGCAGAACCTTGGGATGAGCCGTTTGTGGCTCCCTCAGTGGAGATGGGCAGTAGCTCTTGCCCTTCCCTTTGCTCCAAAGGGTCCCCCTCCCCCCCTGGAAAAGACCCAGGAGTCTCATCAGAAAAGTCTCGCCTAGAGCGAGTTGGTCGATGTGCCGACGCAGGACACGACCGTTGTCCAGGGCAACCTCGTAGGAGAGAGGACCTGTGATCCTGGACACAGAAGCGGGGACCCATGTATGACCAGGCCCGTAATTGCGAGCCCAAACCGGGGCACCCACAAGTAGTTGTCTAGGTGCCCTAGGATAGGTGAGGTAGATGAAGGCAGTCTGTCCGGATGCAACCGGTCAAGTCTAGTAGTAAGTTGGCGCCCCCAACGAAGTTCAGCTGGACTTCTCCCTGTAGAAGTGGACGGTGTGGTGCGATAAGAAAGGAGAAAGTCAGCCAACCTGTGATGCCAGTCCCCGTAGGTGAGTCTCTTCAAGGCGTCCTTTGCGATGCGCACCATGCGTTCAGCCATACCGTTGGTGGACGGGTGAAAAGGCGCAGACGTGGCATGACGAATCAGGTTTGCCTGTAAGAAAGCTTGGAATTCGGAGGAGGTGAATTGAGGGCCGTTGTCGGACACAATGACATCTGGCAGCCCGTGTGCAGCAAAAATCCCCCTCAGTACCTGAATAGTCTTTGCAGTGGTGGTGGATGAGACAGGCACAACCTCAAGCCATTTTGAATGGCTGTCAACAAGGACCAAGAAGAACTGGCCCTGAAAGGGCCCAGCGTAGTCAATGTGCACCCTAGACCATGGGGACTGTGTTTCCTCCCATCTATGCACAGGAGCTTGGGGCATCTCTGGGCGAGATCGTTGGCACAGGTGGCATGCGTGTACCTTAGCCTCAATATCTTTATCTAAAGCAGGCCACCACAAGTGGCTGCGTGCAAGAGCCTTCATACGAACAATGCCAGGATGACCCTCGTGGAGGGATTCTAAGACCCTAGTCCTCATTGAGGTGGGAATGACAACTCTGTTTCCCCAAAGCAGACAACCCTGAGAAAGGGACAGTTCGTTTCTTTTGGACCAGAAACTCTGAAACTCAGGACTAGGGCAGTGCTCAGGCCACCCGGACAGGACCCAGGAGCGGACACGTGAAAGTGTGTGATCTGTACCTGTTTCAGCGGTAACATCCCTGGCACTAAGAGGGAGCTCAGGCAAGGCTTGGATTGATAGAATGTTGACAGCTGGCGCGGGGTCAGCTTCTACTACTGGCAGAGGCAATCTACTGAGGCCATCAGCATGGCCCATTTCTTTCCCAGGCTTGTGGAGTAATGAAAAATCATATGCAGACAAGAAAATAGACCACCTAAGCATTCTAGGGGAAATGATGTGGGGAGTCTGCTTACGTGTGGTAAACAGTCCCAGCAGAGGCTTATGGTCAGTGAAGACCGTGAAATGCCTGCCATATAGAAAATCGTGGAATTTTTTAATTCCAGCAACAACAGCCAGAGCCTCCCTGTCTATCTGAGCGTAGTTGCGCTCGGCAGAAGACAGTGTTCTGGAGTAGTATGCAATAGGAACCTGAGTTCCATCAGACCTGAGGTGACTCAGGACAGCTCCAACCCCGTAGGGGGACGCATCACAAGCGATGCACACAGGGAGAGACTCGTTGAAATGTGCAAGAACACTGTTAGAAGTGAGCAAGGCCTTGACTTCTTTAAAGCAAGCCTCATGCGCTTGTGACCACAGCCACACAGCCTGTTTGTCTAGTAGCCTGTGAAGAGGCTCAGCTACACTAGCTTTATGTGGAAGAAAAGAATTGTAGAAATTCAGGAGGCCTAGGAAGGCCTGAAGTTCGGCCTTAGACTTTGGCCTGGGTGCATCTAAAATAGCAGTTAGTTTGGATTCAGCAGGATGAATCCCAGCAGCATCAATTTTGAATCCCAGAAATTCAGTAGAAGGCACCCCAATCTGGCATTTGTCTTTTCTGAGCTTGAGGCCTGATTTCCTGAATCTTAACAGGACAGCCCTAAGCCTTTCAGCTAGAATGTGTGTGGAGTCTCCTGCAATCAAGACATCGTCAAAGTAGGGGCAGACCCCTGGTATACCTCGTAGTGTGTTTTCCATAACGCTTTGGAAAATCCCAGGAGCGACATTCACTCCAAACTGTAGCCTTTTTACCTTAAAGGCTCCCCTGTGGGTCACAATGGTCTGAGCTATGGCAGCATCATCATCAACAGGCAGCTGTTGATATGCTTGAGCTAGGTCAAGCTTTGCAAAAACACGCCCCCCCTTGAGAGAGGCCAGGATGTGACTGACCACAGGAACAGGATAGGCATGTTGCTGCAATGCCTTATTGAGTGTGCATTTGTAATCAGCACAAATGCGAATGTCCCCATTTGCCTTTAGAGGCGTGACAATGGGGGTCTCCCACGGGCTGGAATCAACAGGTTCTAGGATTCCCTGTTGGATTAGTTTGTCTAATTCAGTGTCAATCTTACTTTTTAAAGCAAAAGGGACCCTTCTTGCTTTAATCCTAATGGGAGTGACAGTGGGGTCTAGCTTTAAGGACACAGGTGGTCCTTTGAATGTGCCCAGCTGGGGGCTGAAAACATCTGCAAATTCTTTGCAGACTTCCTGTAGGTCGAGTGTTTGTAAGCTGTTGAGTCCTGTGACGTGTATCCCCAGGGCCTCAAACCAATCGAGTCCTATGAGACTCGTTCGTTCACCCCCTACTACTAATAAGTCTAGTGGACCTTCAAAACTCTTGTATTGCACGTTAAGGGTGGCCTCCCCCTTAACACACACTCTTGAGTTCTGAAAATCTGTTAATACAATATCAGAAGGCCTTAACTTGGCCTTAGACCCACTTCTGGAACAAATCTTCCTAAATGTATGCAATGAAATGATGGACAGGGCAGACCCTGTGTCTAGTTCCATAGATAATGGAACCCCTTGTAGCTTCACGTTGAGTGACAGCTTTTTCTTCATGGGCTTGTGTGTGCCTGTTCTACAGATGCTTCTTCGCGAAGCGCAAAACCCTACCCTATTCTGGCTGGGGAATCTGGTACCTTCAGGCGTTCTTCTTGGGGTTGTGCCTTTCGTCGGCCCAGACACACAGCTGCAATATGCCCTTGTTTGCCGCATGCCCGGCAGGTAGCGGAGCGGAACTTGCAGTCGTTCTCCTGTGGCGACCTCCACAGCCGATGCACTTGAGCGGAGCCGAAGAGCTTCCCTTCTGGTTCTCTTCCTTCGCGGGGTGTAGACGGTCGACTTCCTCGTCCGGATCCTCCTCGGAGTTTCGTCGGACGTCTTCCTGGTGCACGGACGCAACCCTCTGCACTGTTTTCTGATCGGCCGCATGTTTTTGACGGCGCCGCCTGCTGCTTCTTCTGCGGTGACTTCCCTTAAGGCGTCTTGGAAGGATAATTCTTCCTTTGCGAAAAGTCTCTGTTGTAGCTCGCGATGCCTTAACCCGCACACGAATCGGTCCCTCAGTCGTTCCTCGAGGTTCCTTGAACTCGCAGGGCTTGGCGGCCTTCCGTAACGCGGCGATGTATTCCTTGGCTGACTCACCGGACCGTTGATCCCTTTGTTCGAAGGTGTGGCGCCATGAGATAACGGACACCTTGGGGTGGAAGTGCTCCTTCAGCAGCTTCTTCAGGTCTGTGTAGCTTACAGACTCTACTGGGACAGGTGCTGCAAGGTTTTCTGCGATTTCGAAGGCGTCTTGGCCGCAAACGCAAAGCAGGGTGGCCGCCTTCAAGCTATCTTCCCTCACTTGGTTTGCCTTGAAGTAGTTCTCCATTCTGGATACGTAGGACTCCTACCGCTCTGGATGTGAGACGTCGAATTCCGAAAGCCTTCCGATTTTCGCCATCTTCGGATCTTCAGGAGACGGGTCTATCAGCCAGCCTACCCCCGAATGCGCACCGGATTGGCGGGCAGCTGCCGAGTCGACGCCGTTCCTCTTTCGCCGCTCAGGACTCCTTGGGTAAGCTTACACTTCTTCCTTTCCAGGTAGTGCAAGGCATCCCACCTTCGTCGCCAGTGTTGAGTCCGTGGCGGGAAAACAGACACGAGAAGCAGCTGGAGTTCTCAGTTTCATTTATTCAGCGTTCAGCTTACAGGAAGATGGCTTCAGCTCGCCCAAACGCCTCGCAGCCTCTTATATAGGCAACTCCCGGGTAAATGGGTTACTTTTCCCGCGCCAGCACCCGCGCATGCGCACGGCGCTGGCGACAGCCTGTCTGGTCCCGGGCAGCTTTGCACCTGCCCGGGACTGCCTGCAAACGCCCGAGCCGTTTGCAAGGCTCGGGACATAACAACACTACTCTGTGGATACACACTACCCACAATTAGTTTCTTCTGCTGAGCCCAATGGGGCAAATAAATAACCCGACCCTGGTAATGAAGACCCTTATGCTATACTTCTTTGCTATTATTCAGAAATTAAGTACCATCATGCTTAAAGGGGGTTGATTTGTCTTCACTGTTTTAAGAAAGTCAGTGGCATGTCATAAAGAAAATAATAATGCCTAAAAATGGGGAAGTTAAGTCCCTGGTGAGAATTAGGATTTCTCATGTGTATTGTGACGACTTATTAGTATATCATTTCAAATGAAGGAATTTGATAACTAGTATCTTTCACTCTTCATGGAAAATACGTTAATACTGACTTCTATTTCTCCCCATTCCTGTCAAGAAAGAGGAAAGTTAAAAATAGCGGTTTTACTCACATAAAAAAATGACAATGGGCCTGCATGAAAATCAATTACAATTCCAAAGATGAAAGAGAACTGAGATATAATCACATGAAATGCTGCTGCTGTAAGGTAAGCATTCATGAGACTCTCTGAGACATATGTTGTAACAAATCCCAAGCCAATGATGCCCAAAAGTACCTGGAAAGGAACAAAAGAGATGGTTAAAATAGGGGGAAAAGGGGCTTTTAAAGAAAACATATAGCTGCCCTATTTCTGCAGGACTTTGCTATTATACACCTGAAATTTAAAGAAGCTATACTATTTCTCTAAGTGAATATTTTGCAAGTGCAGAAAAAAATCATCTGTTTTATGCCTCCAAATTAGTCAATGTTCTGAGATAAGTTGAAGTCAAGGGCCAGTAGTTCTTCCTGGCCAGCAATACCAAAAAAACATATAAAAAAATTGGTGAAATTTCACCAAATAATAATTATCTTGGATGAAATCTTAGGAGTTTTCATGTGAAATAACTGAAACCTTGCATAATTCTGGTGAACTCTTGAATGATTTCAATGTCTTCAGGCAAAATATCAGCTGATTTAACTTTCATTCAACTTTTGTGTTCAAATAGGTATCTATTACGTGATACTGCATTTTCATTCTGTCTTTGAAAATATCAAGAGTTTCCACTCTACATGAGGTGAGATGGAGGGAACTTAAAAGTCAGCATTTTCTGCCAGAGCTCCCACTCCTATAGAATCAGTTATTTCCAAAAATAAGATTAGTGTCCTTGTCACTATTATTCCCCATTGACACACATACACATAAACATAAACATACACCTACACACACACAGTATTATTAACTTAACTGACATGGCATTAAAGTATTTAGAATAAATAAATAAAAATGTGGCAAGAAAAAAAAAGATAATTCAAGTGGGTTTCCTACCTGAATAATCCCAACTAAAAATGTAGTAGATGCAGTGTGAGTTACTGCTTCCATATAATTTTGCATAAAAGTTTCATCAGAAATGTTGACCAAACTGCCATTAATTGGTAACTTTATTCTGAAATTAAGACTACTCTGAAAATTTGCTGCCATTGCATTAAGAATGCTGAAAGAACCTGTTGCCAAAAAGCAGAAATTCAAGATAAAAGCCAAAGCCAATATAAATTCAGCTACATATTAATGGTCACAAGGTAATTCTCATCATTTCTCTAAAGACCCTGAAGTATAAAATGCTTTCAGAATACCAGTTTGGTCTAGTGCAGGGGTAGGCCACCTTGGCTCTTTTATGACTCGTGGACTTCAACTCCCAGAATTCCTGAGCCAGCAGGACTTCAACTTCTGGGAGTTGAAGTCCACGAGTCATAAAAGAGCCAAGGTGGCCTACCCCTGGTATGTGATTTCCAGGGCCACATTAGGCATGAAACCTGGCTGGGTTTGGGGCAGTCACTCTCTCTCAGTTCACCTCACCTCACAGGGTTGTTGGGGCAAAATAGAAGGAGGAAATAGTATTGGTTATATTCACTGCCTTAAATTATTTATAAAAAAAATAATAAAGGCAGGTTATAAACAAATCAACAAACCAACAGATAAACTGCTTCTCTGCCTATTATTTCTTCTGGTATTCTGATGTCAGAAGTTACATCACTGGGCATTCAGGAACAGTGATGCCCAAACCGTTGTCCATAAATCATCACCAGAGAGATTCACCAGATTTATAGGAACTCTGTGTTAACCTTTGTCAGCTGGCTAGAGCCTTATCCTAACCTAAGCATACCCAGCGCCAACTCATGTTCACCATTAGTCAACCCCCGAAGCTATATAGCTCCTCTAAACTGGTATCATATAACTTTTATTTCAATCAAGAGATTTAAATCAAGAGATTTATGGAGTTTACAGACTAGTGGCATTCGATTAAATACTTTGCTTTTTACTATCTAGGATCAAGAGACAATCCCGGGCATCTCCAGTTTGGATTGCTTTCATCAAAACAACAAAGTGATTTTATGCTCTAATGCTACAAGCTGTGCAACCTTTCAATGGACATGTCACAATGCACCTATAAATGAATGCTTGTGTCGTGATGGCATGATATTGGTTTCAGCAGACTGACCAATTTGACATCTCTGGAAACACTTTTGGCAATAAGGAGTATGAGACTGTGATATCTTCTCAACCCCAACCTGTCTAGTTTCTATAAAGTGTCAAAATAATTGTTGTTTAATGTGCTTTCGTTTTCACAATTTTTCAGAGTACTTTTGCTGTCCCTTACCATCCCGGGTTATTGTTATTTGTTTGCAAAAATGACATAAAACTGGTTCATAGAAATATAGAAATGATAATACAAAGAGCGATATAAGCATTGAAATTCAGAAAACTTGATAATAGGGAACAGATCTTAAAAAATGTCATTGACTATGCATCTATATAAGCTATGCATATAAGCCAGTGGTGGCGAACCTATGGCACGCGTGCCAGAGGCGGCATTCAGAGCCCTCTCTGTGGGCATGCATGCCATGCCCCGGAGATGGCAACCGTCCCTCTTCAACCAGCCATCCGCTAACTCGCTGAAGTACCACGTGGCTGGATGCATCCCAGCACAGCTGGTTTCTCTCCCCCATCCCATCCCTCCTGGCCTTGCATGTTCTCCTTTTCCTGGGCACGACCCACTACATCGCCTCCTCAGCTGTCGGCTGGCCATCCAACTCAGAGGCAGCTTCTCTGAACTGCTGGCGACTGGCTGCGGAGTCCCAGAGTGCGCCGGTTGAGGGGCTGGCAGGGTGTGGCTGCTGACGGACACTATCAGCCCCCATGCGCTCGCTGGCCTCTGTGTGAGGGGACCGATGATGTCAGGCAGCAGCCGCCCTGGCCCTTGCCTCACCTTGCCTTGCAACAATGGCATCCCCACCCTGCCTCACCTCATCCTGCAAGACAAGCCTCCTGCCCACTGCCCCACCTGCCAGAGACCCCCTGCCTGGCCCCTACAGGCATCCCTCCTCACGAGCAACATCGAGGTGACCACGCCTACCTTGGCCACACCCACCCAATCTGCCATGACCACCACAGCCACGCCCATATGGAAACCATAAATAGGAAATAAACTGATGAATATTTAAAAATAGGATTTCATTGGCTGGAGATGCACGTCACCTTAGGACATGTAACTTGTCAAATGATGCCCTCAAACTACAAGTTGTTATTATACGACAAAAGGTACATAAAATAATTCAAATGCTCATATTTAATCTGGGGTTAATTTGAGATTACAAAATTCAGTATAACTTCAAAAGTTTTTTTAACATGAAGAGATTGGGAAGATACACACAAAAGGAATTATAATAATTTTATTTGCTGAAAAAACTGAATTTCCATTCTCTTGAAGGAAAAGGTGTATAGAGGGTACTTTTGTTTAATAGGATGCTCCCTATCTTTTTCAATATTCATTTACTGGCCCATAAAATGCCACTGAACTATCAGAAAGAACTAATCATTTGCACATTTATTCATTATTAACAGTCACCAATATCTAATAAATTGGCAGTATTTAGCTATCAAGAGCTCAGGAAATGTGGAATTATAGAATCCCAGAATAGGAAAGGACATAGGAAGCCTTCTATAACTTACATTCATTATTTTATATCTCATCTTGTGGATTGTAGAGGGCATATATATGGAGCTGAATTGGGTCTAAACTAAAAATAGTTCATTTGCTAGAAATATTGTAAGCTCATCTCATTCATCTGAATAAATCTTGTTTAAAAAACTATCAGAAATGTACTTGATGAACAATCACTTTTGATTCTCAGACAGCTGCCAAAAAGACAGGCCTATTAACTAAGGTGCAGCAGAGTGGAAATGAGAGTAGAAATGTGTATGTAGCTTTCTTTTCTCTTCCAAAATATAATCACTGAAGTTGGCAAAGCAAGAGTCAGTCATTTCCTAGGCTAGAGAATCATTATATAAACATTTCTCAGTTACCCAAGGCCAATAAATCAAGTATTCATTAACTTAGAAAGAACATAGGGAAAAGCCTAGAATTTGCAGCAAAATTATATACAAAGGTTCTGACTTCATTGTACAGCAATGAGTTTAAAGCTTCATTTTTGTTTTGGAAAACAGATGCTCATCTAGCCAAGTCATGTCTGAGAATCTTTTGACAAATCGACAAATCAAGTGAGGAGTAAAGAGTTAAGCATTTGGAGAGCTGTGATTTGCTGTTGCACTTGGCTCTCTGAAATAGAGGTCTTTTTGGAGCCTGAAAATGGTAAGAAACCTACTTTTACCAGCAATTATGTCTGGATTTCAGAGAACAGCCCTTTACAGAGTGATTACGAAGAGAAATTACAAAGAGAGAAATCATCTATTTAACTTCCAAATTTTTACAAATAAACTCACCTATTTACATTGAAACAAGTGTAAAATATTGCTAAGAGAAGAATCATGGAGAACTTACAAGAATCATGATTTTTTAATAAAACTAATTGATTGAATAGATAAATCAAACTTGATATAGTCGTTTTTTAAAATATTTATACAGTTTTCTTTAGCTTTGTGAATTATTTGATGACAGGTAATAAAAATATGGTATTAACAGAAGACTTAAGAGATAAATGTGAAATAAAAGTCAATATGTTTGAAAGTATAAATTAACAAAAACAAGTTTTTTTAATGAATCAGTACATCACTTCTAATGACAAATAACCCCATATACCTTTAAATGGAATGAACAGATAGCATAGTACTTACCAATAGACATATGTTGTGAAGTTCCAAATATAACATATATTAAAGAGCAGCAAAATGCAGAATAAAAATTATTTATAACTGGAATTGGTAATCCGGTCAACGCTATTCCTGATAATCCTATAAGGAATGCATATTTTAAAATATACTCTCAAAACTGATACAAAGCAAAAAGCTCACTGCCCATTTGTAGAGAAGGATAATCCAACCTGCCCTATTTTATTATAATTTCTTATTCTAATAAATAATCTGTTATCCATATGACTTAGATCTCACTCTAGAAATCTATAACTCTGGGAAAGATGGGAGGAAAGAGAAGAGGACAACCAGTGAGAATGACTGTATTACTGGAAGACCCGAAAGGTCAGGCTGAGGACAAATTATGGTCATTAAGAGTCCACTCCAACTTGATGGCTCATGATGAGCCAATCAATCTTCATATGGCACTGTTTTCTGGGAAGAGCATCCACCATTGGCAAGATGTATCTAAGTAAAAAGTCTGCTTTTTTCCTCTTCTAAATCTCTCTGGATGTTGCTTATATCTTTCCCTCCAACTATCTAGTTAATGACACATAAAGGGGAATCTAAGAAGCCCAATTATTGTATTTTCTTATGTTCTTCCAGCAGTGGGCAAGGGGCAAAATGTGGCAAATGAATACCAGAGGTGGAGCTGGATTCGAGTGAGTTTTTAACCAACCTTCTCTTGATTATTTGCAAGCCTGGTATAGCTTCAGAATGACTGGAATAGCTTCAGAATGACTGGAATAGCTTCAGAATGATCTGAAGGAGCACTTTGGACACAGATAAGATTTAACCTCAGTTATTCACTTAATCATGACTATCCATTAGTGGTCTTGGATACATCAATGTCTAGTGAGAACAAAATAGGCAAACCCTTGCCTGGAAAAAGGGTAGATTGTAAACATGTTAAATGTAATAAAATGTATGTTAGTACTATCACCACCACTACTGCTAGACATGCTTCAAAACTTGAACAATCTCAGTTGCTGCAAACACACAAAACAAGCATTTCCACTAGAACAGCCATGGCATTTTAACTTCAAAAAGCCTTTGGACCCCTATGCTGCCATTTCATTAGCAGGTTTCATGGATCAGAGTCAAATATATGAAGTATGGTCCTGAAATAACATTTTATACGTACACAGTTGTTGGAGAGAAGAGGGACAAGGGAATAGTGGCTCTGTGCCCATTGCTGACTCAAGTTAATTGGAAGGCAGCAATTTTTATTTCCATTAGAACCAGAACTAAGAACCAATCATATACTGTGTCTGGTGAGCTTGCCAGAAACATTGATGATTGTAAGATGAAAAGTACAATTAGCAGGTCCCAAACTATATACTTCCTGTTGCTATATCTGGAGTAAGCACACAAAGAAAACCTCTTTTTTCTGTGATACTGATTCTAGTGCATCATAGGCTACATTCAGACGTTCTTTAATAATGTATGAGCAAATCTTGAAGCACGTAAAAGGATTTCATTTTTATGGACAGTTGATACTAAAGAATATTAATTTTTGAACCAGAAATGTTTTTGTTTATATCGCTACTTCATTTTAATATACATTAAAAAAAAAAAGAAATCCATTATATTAACTCTTGTTTCATTATTTCAGGTACAAAAAAAATCCTTTGTTTTATAGTTTAGTATAGATGTAATCACTACATCTATTGAATTGAACTTCGCTGAAGGTGCCTTTTCCTTTACAGATTCCTAGTTTTTAGGTAGTCCTTGACTTACAACAGTTCATTTAGTGACTGTTAAAAGTTACAACGGCACTGAAAACAGTGACTTATGACCTTTTTCACACACTGTTTTTCACTTATGACCACTGCGGCATCCCTGTGTGATCAAAATTCAGATGCTTGGCAACTGACTTAGTTTTATGACGGCTGCAGTGTCCCAGGGTCATGAGATTATCTTTTTGACAAAGTCAAAGGGGGAAATCAGATTCACTTCACAACTTAATAACTGTGGTGATTCTCTTAACAACTGTGGCAAGAAAGGTCGTAAAACAGGGCAAAATTCACTTAACAACTGTCTTACTTAACAACAGAAATTTTGGGCTCAATTGTGGTCATACGGCAAGGACTATCTCTATCAGAGGCTGTTTTTGTTATCTCAGTCCAAACCCCATAGGCATTTATTTACTATAGAGCAATAAAGAGAGCTTCAGTCTAGGTCAGGAGTAGGCAACCTTGGCTCTTTTATGACTCGTGGACTTCAACACCTAGAATTCCTGCTCTAGGTTTTACTTCCATATGTGGAAAAGCCTGGAAAATTATCCACCTTGAAAGATTTTAAACAGAATGGATTTATTTACCTTGGAAAACCTGCACCATCCCTACATTTAGGCCAGCATGTATGTCTCCTAGAATCCATTCAGTAATGCGATAAGTATAAAGCCAGTTTAAAATAGGAAACATCTTGAGTATGAATTTCTTGAACCGTGCACATGAGAATCTGAAATAAATTAGATTGTACAGCAAGCCAATCGTTTATCTTGATTAAAAAAAAGGTTCAGTTGTTTTTATGATACATCGTGAGGTAATCTATAAACCAACAAGATACTCTGCCAATCATCAGCTCTGTATGTTTTTGTTAAATAATAGTCAAATGTATAATTCAGATTAGAATTCTATGTACCTTTCCCTCAAAGTAAGACCCATTAAACATAGTGGAAACCAATTTCTGAATCTAATAATCCACATTAATCAGAACAATTGGAGCTGGAAAACCACATGTTCCCAAGCATCATACCCAGGTACATCTGGGAAGCATGTCAGCAATTGTCCAATACAGAATTGGTTTAGGGATTAAGATCAGATTTCGCAGTAAGCAATGCGGCCAGCAGCTGCAAATTCTGCCTTACCCAATGTTGCCTATGAAAGGGTAGAACTCTCTGACATTGTAATATGTCAGCAATGGTACCCTGATGTGAAACTGTAATCATTATCTAGCCCATTTTAAACTGAAACTAGATTTTTCCACATATTTTCCACTATTGCCACTCTTCTCTTCATTACTGCATTTTTATTACACCTGATTTATTGGACCACTGGAGCTAATTTAGCTTTACATAAAAGAGAAGAAACTGTGCATGGTAAAGTCTGTAAACAATGATAACAGTTTCTAATATGATGCAGAAAAATGGGGTTTATAGTTTGATCTAGAGACATAACAAAGTGATCAAGTGTTGCGAGGAACAAACTTCCTGACTAATCTTACCTGCATTGGATCTTTCGTCCAGGTTTAGGGCTTTCAGATTCTTTGTTGAGCTGGGAATACATCTTTTGGTCATGCTCTTGTTCAAATTCTTCTTCATTGTACACCTTTCTGTTGATGTTATATGTCACCCTTAGTGGCACTCTCTCACTGCTAGTATTTGTATCTGGCTCCATTTCATTATATTGATCCTGACATTTTAAGAACAAATCTATTAAATTGGAAGAACATTTTATTTTGTGTCTCTTTTATGCTATTGTTTCCTGGCTCACAATACTTCTGAAACTCAACGGCTCATGTTCAAACAGAATGAAGCTGATTCCTATCAATTAGCCTCATTGTTACTATGTAATATCTGTTCTAAGAATTAGAAAACATTCAATAAGGAAAGAAAATCATTTGTGAAGTATCAGACACAAATTAAAAATAAAAAGCTGGACTGTCACACTGGAACGCTCCTATCTCTCATGCTTTTTCTTAAAATAATATTTATTTAATGCAAAGTGATTTTTTTTTCTCTTAATCTGCAGAAAATTCACAAATGGGTCCCTTCAGGTTCAAAGTATGCTGGTTACGTGAGAAAGAAAAAAAAACGCCAAAACTATTCTGCTCTTTTCCTCAGGACTAATTATCATTTTTAGTTAATTTAAGAATAATTTGAGGAATAATTTGAGAGGGAGAGGCAGTCCTGGCAAGAAACCACTGTGAGAACGATGCAATGTAAGGATAGTTTTAAGTATTGCTAAACATGTCTCTTGATAGCTGTTATGTGATATTACAAAAATTGGGTTAATTGACTTTGAGTCTTTCTCCACTTTGACTCATCATGGCACAAACATTGGAACATCTGCCATATTCTCATGATATTATTTTATCTGCTTCCCAGTTTATTAGTGAACCTCCTGTCAAAAGATTACATTTGAATTTCCTACTCAACATAAGAAAACAAGGAGATGCATTCAGAGACAGCCACAACTAAGGAATCAAAGCCATGCCCCCTTTTTTACATGCATCATGTAGGACTTGAATCAAGCTACTACTTGATCTTACTTGATTTTGTATTATCAGAGCAAGATTTTTTATTTTCTGCCATAAGTAGTAAGACATTTTCCTATTTTTTTACAGTTATCTCCAGCATAAGAAATACAAAATTAACACAAACATATTGGAAAAAGTCATTTTTGTAATGTTGATTTGTTTGTGAGATCTATCTCCCATGTTTCCATGTGGAGTTCAAGTTTGTTATTCCAGGAATAACAAACTGCTGAAAGAAAGCCACTGGCCACAGCTATTCTGCGAGCTTCCCTGACCAAGGATGGACTCAAACCTGAATCTTTTCAGTCCCAATCCAAGACACACATTACTATACAACCGCACACTGTTTCACTTTGAACGGCTTTTCTTATTTTCTATTCCCCCTTCATCTTAATTCCCCCAGCAGGGTACATGATACAGGCCTGTGGATCTGTTCCTTTAAAAATTATTATAAATTAACCTGGCCTAGAAGAGAATTTTAGTGGATATACTAACTGCATTAACTTAGGGCTTTTCAGGGCTTTGACTGTTCATGGCCTTCAGTCGAACTAAGATGCTTCTCAAACAGCAAATACGAAGTAGGGAATAACAACATGAAACAACCCTAGTTTCTAATGTTGCCTCCTAGAAGTAGAATCCGAATCTGCAACCAGCTAAATATTTTATTGGTCTGAACTGCCTAATAATTGCTCATCATACTCAATGCTGCCAAAAGACATATTAACTAGGACTCCCTAAGAGGATAGCCTATTCTTGTCTTGCTGCAATGTGAATTCTATAAGGGTTTACAGAATAAAATATTGCAGAGATGAGATACCTCTGTACTCCTTCCTTATCTGGCAATGGGTGTCCCCTGTGCAAAAAGATAATTAATGTACATGTATATACTGATGAATGGGCTGCTAAAACACACATATTCACTTTCCATGATTCTGTAACTCAACTACTTTTCCTTTTGATAAATCTAACTAGTGAAACACTGTAAGAATCTAAGATTCTTGGTTGTGAATGATTGCTTGGTTTTTGACATTTTTTTCTGACAGGTAGTTTGCTACTACTTATAATATAACTAATTTTATGATATGACATGTGGAGTACAGCAACAGATAACAAGACAACACCATCAAAACGGTAATTCGGCTCCAGTTTTAGTTTATAATCTCATACTGAATTCCTCTTATTTGCCTATTTTAATATGTATGCATTGTATTATTTACTAGGGATTTCAATGCTGTTGTCCTGTCTATATTTTTTTAGTTCTTGTAAAAAAAATTTTTTTAATTGCTAGCCATTGGCTATAATAAAGAATTATGATAATTCATTCATTTATATGACACAATGCAGTTTAAATATACTTCCACTTCAAAGTACTTATCCTTAAAAACTATATCTGCAATTTTTTTTCTCCCAGAATTGTAAAAAAAGAAAAAAGAATGTGATATAAAGAGCATATGAAGTCAGACAAATTATACATGGTTGATCAATGAAATAGAAATGCAAGGAAATAATTTTAAAAGTCCACAATTGCAATTTCAGGATGACCTTAGATTAATAAACAGTTGATATTTGGGGTCTGCTGATTTATTGGTAATTCATGATAATTATATTTTTATAAGAACCATTTAAAAATATCATCCATTAATTTTCAGATACTCTAGTTCCCAGAAAATGGATTAAATGCCTTCCACTAATCACTCAGAATTTCTATCCAGTGGGAAAAACATGTTTATGGCAGTAACATCTGTGTAATTGAAAGCAGAAATCCACTAAATTTATGAAACAACAAAGAAAAAATAATATAATATAGTAGGGCCAATCTAAGATATTTTGCTATTTGCCATAAAGCACAAGATGCCTTTCACTAAAAATTCTACATATTGAATATAAATTGAATCTTATTTCAACAGAGGCTGATGACAGGCCCTGAGTATTTACATTTATTCTCACAGTCTCTTCCCGCTGTCAGGACAAGTTGTTTGCTTTTCTGGAAAATGCTAAAGCTTTAATTCCTTGGATAATTTGTTACTGCAAATAAAACGTGATGGCTAGACTTCTCATTAAATTAATACTTTATTTAAGGTTCTATTGTGATGCCAGCCTGCATTCACAAGGATGCCAGCCTGTTCCTCCAACTGGAGTACACAGAGAAGAGCAACAAAAATGATTAGGGGACTGGAGGCTAAAACATATAAGGAAGGGTTGCTGGAATTGGGTATGTCTAGTTTAATGAAGAGAAGGACGAGGGTGGACATGATAGCAGTGTTCCAATATCTCAGGGGCTGCCACAAAAAAGAGGGAGCCAAGCTATTTTCCAAAGCACCTGAAGGCAAGACAAGAAGCAACGGATGGAAACTAACCAAAGAGAGAAGCAACCTAGAACTAAGGAGAAACTTCCTGACAGAACAATTAACCAGTGGAACAACCTGCCTCCAGAAGCGGTGAATGCTCCAACACTGGAAGTTTTTACGAAGAAACTGGACAGCCATTTGTCCGAAATGGTATAGGGCAGTGGTGGCGAACCTATGGCACGGATGCCAGAAGCAGCACTCAGAGCCCTCTCTATGGGCATGCATGCCGTCGCCCCAGTCATAGGCCTTCAGCTGGGTTTTATAAAACCTTTTCACTTTAGGCCTCCACCGCCGTGTACAAAAAAAAAGGTTCAATCAATCAGTCAATTTCAACTTCTCACAGGGAAAAAAAGATCTTGCAAAGTTGGAATTGATTGATTGAACTTTTTAGTCCCACCCAGTCTGCCGTTACCACTGCAGCCACGCCCACCCAATGGGCCACATCCACCCAATGGGCCACACCCATCTGGCACCCGATGATGCATAAGTGGGTTTTGGGTTGCAATTTGGGCACTCGGTCTCTAAAAGGTCTGCCATCACTGGTATAGGGTTACCTGCCTGAGCAGGGGGTTGGACTTGATGACCTCCAAGCTCCCTTCCAACTTTATTATTATTATTATTATTATTATTATTTCCTTGACTCAGAATCAGGACACAAAAAATAGAGTTGGAAAGGACCTTGGAAATCTAGTTCAAATCCCTGCTAAAGCAGGACACTGTGTAACATTCAGCATTGGGGAAGACAATACCTTTATCATATAAAAGCAAAGGGAGATGCCTCAGCCCTCCCTCTCATAGAGAAAAGTTCTGTTCTTTTAAAATGAGAGACAAAACTCCAGAGAAATGGAGAAAAAATGTTGCTGGCCATGAGCTGGCTTATACTCTCTCCCAAACGGTTGTGATAAATGGCTGAAATTAACCCCAGATGTCTAGGAGAAAAGAAGTAGGGAACTTTGCTTCTGGATTTATATTACATCTAAGAAATTCGTTAATGGTTAGGCAGAAGCTGCTTTATAGCTTAATTTATTGTGTGTGCGTGTGTGTGTTCTTAAATCTTGTATTCTTTATACCTCTCTCTATAGAGAGTAAGAAAGATCACCTTGAGAGAGATAGGCCAAATCCATTACCAAAGAGACAATGGGGAAAAAATGACTTAAGTCCAAAACAAGAGAAAGCATGCACAAAATATTCAGGCACACACTCCCTAATTTACATGATTATAAGGAGGGTAAGTGGTGAATAAAACACAGTCAGATTATAGCCAATATTAATAAAAGTAATGTTAGCCTTTGAATAAAGTAGATTTCTTGATTTGGTCTACATAGTTAGGCCTACAGGGTATAAACTGAGGGACTGCACCTACTTCAGTGTTTTATGCATATATCAGATTCTGCATGGGGATGCTTCCTTTCTTCCAAATCTCTTAAAATGATAATTTGTCTCTGAGAAATTATTTGAGCTCTGTAAAACTCAGAGCTTAGGATAATTGTAACAAATTGGTGTCATCTTTTGGTCTTTGGACTTTTTAGGCTAACCAATTTGCCAGCTGCTCTATATTGTTATAGCTATATAACTCTAGGTAGTTGTACAATCTTGTTGCTGCAACACTACATAGTTACAAGTTTACTTTATATATTTCTATTTTTTCTTTTAAATATTTCATTTTTCTTTATCTCTTGTGAGATTGGTATAATTCCAAATAGTGTGGTGGGGAAAACTCAACCCTTTAGTCACACTCTTTGATAATATAATGCCAGAAATTGGCACCCTAACAAATATTTCACTGTTATCTTTTTATTAGCAAGAACGCTACAGGACTTCTCTCTCTTATACTCACTGGGTGAGGGCACTATATAAGCCCCCACCACCCCGGAAGTTAAATAATATTAGTGGGAAGTACCAAATCAGTATCCTGGGGCAAAAGGTCAGGCCAAAGTATGAAGCTTCAGAAAGTTTCTGGGAGCGGAGCTTACTGCTCAGATTTGCTTGGTACAGGCTTTGTTTTAAATGATAAATAAAGCATTTAATTTATAAAGCCAATACTTAGAATAAGAACACGAAATAAAATAATCCACAAAAGCTTAAAAAGAATAACAATTTTTAGGAATTACTTAAAGTATATGAGGTGTTTATCTATTACCATTATTTTATACCATTTGCAATCATGCTCCCTTCTTTTGATCAGTGATCAACTCAGATTGGTCTTATAAAATAAAAGCTTCTGAAATAAAAGTTAGCCATTAGGTAGTTTTTTTTTTAAATGAATTTTAAAGATATTTTTTAATGATAAATAATTTTTCCTACAAATAAAAACTCCTCTCCTAGGCAGACATTCTTGGCCACTCTGGAGTTTGCCTATTTGTCATGAAGCCATGTTATTCCTCATTAATGGGAAGAGGTGAGGTCCTTAGCAAAATATGGAGACTGTGTTTTGCGTTACCTCTATGATTGGTATTACAGCAGTTCCAATCCTATCGATGAGAAACAGTGATGGGGAAAGTGTCTGCATTGTTCTTTTTATTAAAGATGGGTCTAATTTATAGCACTATTTGCTCACAGAATTGCAAGTAAGAGCTGCAAGCTGAAGCAGCTAAATCCTTATTCAATAATGTAAATCCCTGTGCTTCAATGGAGCTGGAGACTTTTATTTTGTTTCTGTAAGAATTTTCTCCTTCTCACTTTTTAATAGTAGCAATTACTTTTCTAAAATAATTTACATTTTTTTTAGATTTGATTATTAAACTGTTTATATATTCCACTTCTCCCTGCTCCTCCATTCACCCCCCCTCCCCCCACATTGTTAACTTACCATTTTTGGTCCAACTCTTTGTTCTCTTTTTTTTTTCTTTACCAGGTTGATGTTGTTGGTATCTTGGTAACAGTTAGAACTGCTTAGAACCTTTGGTTTTTTTCAAAGTATTATCAATGCCTGTCATTCTTAGTAGCACACAGATTAAACATTCTATTGTCTCATGAGAAATGACCAACTTATTTAGCTTTATGCAACCATTTCTGTGTATTCTCCAGGGCCGGGATCATGAAATGCAGTCAGTTATCTCTATAGTGAAAGTCTAGATGGTAAAAATTATATGGAAAAATGTATTGCCTTTGTATCATTTATTTGTTCAATTTCTATGGCCACCCATCTCGGTCAATGACTCTCTTGTAGAATTGTTGTTACTGTATTTTTAACCATAGTTCTGAAGCATTGTGTTAGCTGAAGGGTGAACTGGGATATACTCTTTCTCATGTGCTCCTTGAGAGCTATAGGACAAATTACCTATGTGTCAAACTCTTTAAGAGTCAAGTTCAGTTCAAAACAAAATACCAGCAGCATGGAATCATGACTGAATGCCCATTCATTTTGTACTGTATATGCATCCATATACAAACAGGGTGGGGCATTGATTAGAACATTATACTTACTATCTTGCAGATTTTGACTACAGCCTCACTCTTGCAGATGTCCCTGGGCTTTTCTAACCTCATTTATTAAAAGAGAAAGTGGATTTTCTTCATTTCTAGGATCCTTGTTATCTTTGAGTTTGCTAGGACAAAGCTTTCTTCATTTTTTGGGTAATGATCCTTTGATGAACTGGAAATCTAGTCTAAACTACTGGAGCAAAATCTTTTTCTTTTTAACCAAATGTTAACATTTTGCAAAGTGAGTTGATATTTTCTCAGGTTTTCTATGAAATTTTCTTTTATTGAGTTAACTGATGTTTTTTGGAACCTTTACCTCTGGTTTTTAACATTATCCACCAGACAGTAGAGAGTATTCAACATTCTACCTGAGAATTCTGAGGAATCAGAATCAGTAATTTGCCTTTGAGACAAAGCAAAATGTTCCCCATATAAACTGAAAGTTGTATAAATAAATAGAAAAATGAATGAAACAAAGTTATTCACCTATCTCAGGGATAGGCAACCTTGGCTCTTTTATGACTCATGGACTTCAACCCCAGAATTCCTGAGCCAGCATGGCTCAGCATGGAAACCTCTCCCTTTCCTCTCAGCATAGCTGGCTCAGGAATTCTGGGAAGTCCACAAGTCATAAAAGAGCCAAGGTTGCCTACCCCTGACCTAGCTCATGGTACTGGTCCATTTTTAACTAAGTACCAATTAGAACCAGAGCCACAACCTGAAAGTAGTATATAAGGGTAAATTCCAATGGGAGAGAGATTTTTTCTTCTATTTTCTGGAGTAAAGGAGAGAATAGGAAATTCTATTCCATGGGCCAGCTGACTGGGGCAAAAAGCTCCGAAAGCAACTATCATTTCTGCAAGGAATTGTCAGAGCACTGAAAATGGCGACTGCTTCCAGGAGGCAGGAGGACCAAGTGCTGTGAGGCTCTTTTGGGGTGGGGTAGAGGGAGACAAAGTGGAGAGGCACTGCAGTGTCCATGTGATGGATGATAAGGGAGAATGACTGAAGGGGCGCTACAGCCGCCATAAATTTGAAACAGGGCTGTATGTAGCTTTTGGGAGGTCTGTCATAACTTTGAACAGTTGTTAAGTGACGTGCTGTATCTTGAAGATTATCTTTATTAAGGACATATTTTTCAGTGCTTAAATAACTACATTGATTCCTGTCCATTTTGTAATGTATTTATCAAGGCTGGGACTGCCCTTCAGAACCTTTAGCTTGCTTGTATAGTCACTGAAGCTCTTATAATTGCTGAAGCCCATCAACCAGTGCCAGTTTAGTTTAGTGGTTAAGGCGCCAGGCTAGAAAGCAAGAGACGGTGAGTTCAAGTCCCACCTCAGCCAGCTGGTTAACTTTGGGCCACTAACTCTGTCCTAGCCCAAGCTACCTCGCAGGGTTGTTGTTGGGGAGGAAAATAAGAAGAGGAAGGTGTGCTTGGATATGTTGGCTGCCTTGAGTAATTTGTAAAAACAATAAAGGCGGGATATAAACAAACAGACAAACCAAGGCACAGAAGATGTTGACAGAAAGGAGTGCCTTGTCAGTGGTAACCCTCAGTCTGTGAATACTTTTTAAAGATAACAGACGCTGAGACATTCTGAGGCCTCACAAAGAAGTGTTTATCGTAATTGAAATGTCGGGCTTATCTTCTAGAACATAAATCTATCTATGTAATGAAGGCTTTCTTCGAAGGACAAGTAGGACAAGCAGAGACTGGAAAGCCAGATATAGACCAGGTCTAGATTTTAGGACACAGTCCGGTGAATATCATGAGAGGAATTGACACTGGCCTCTCACAGCAGCATTGAAAGGGCTCTTGCTTGGCCAGACCATTTCAGAAATAGTAACAGCCAGTGCTTCTTTTAAGCACAGTTGATCCTAGCTGTATCTGGACTTCTCACACATGAACTCTGCTACTTCTCAGTGTGTCCTAATGTTCCTTTCTATCATTCTGCCAACCATTTTTATCGTTGCATTTTTATTTTTGCTGGGCCATGACAGCATGGGGTAATCTTCCTGCTTCATTTGAGGATGGTACCTGAGAAGAGGTCATCCTGGAGCCTGGAAAATTGGTTTTACCACTGCTGCTTTGATGTTTTCTTTTTTTTTTTTCAAATAAAATATGATGAAAAATGGGCTTATTTATGATTTATGGAAGACTTGCTTTTAAAAGGGGGGAACTGTTGCATGGTTAAAACCCACCAAAGATCGGATTTCTAATTAAAGAACCTCCAGATTTTGAAGCTACAGATCTTAGGTAAGTTGTTAGGTTGCTCCTATGCCCCAAACAGGAATTGGCAACCGCATCTTTCTCAGAGTGATTTTTTTTTTTTTTTAAGCACGAAAAACAGAAAAAGCGCTTTCGGACGTCACCCCGGCTCTTTTTGAGTTTATAATATATTATAGGCAGAAGTCGCAAGATTGAATCGGAGGGGCGGGGCCCTGGGCCACAGGGCGGGGCGTCGCGAAAGGCTGCAAGGAGCCTCTTCGGGAGAATCGCTGGCGGAGGTGAAAGCAGAGCCGTCAAAGCCCCGGGCGTCGAGGCGATTTCTCCGCTGCCTCGGCTCTGGGTTCGCTTCCAGCCGTTTCTCGTCCCCGAAAGTGGCCAAAACGAGGAAGAGCTCCGCACGAGACTCGGCCATCCCCGGGCGGGCAGCGCACCATGAGCGCCGATTGCAGCAGCTACCTGAACGCCGATAAAGTGCTGGTGGGCTCCTTCAGCTGTCCGCGGGAAGACGGCGAGGCTGATGCGATCTATTGCTGCGGCTTTCAGGATATCAAGTATTGTTGCGACGACCCTAACAGCTTTTTTCCTTACGAGCACAACTATATGTGGTGGCTCAGGTGAGAACAGGAAGGGCGTTTTCCGGCTTATCCTAACCCAGAAGGTACATAAGTTGGGATAAGGGGCTGGTTGCTGCTGCTTTAAGAGCAGGATCCGAACCATCGGAGAATAAGATGATATTGTTATGCACTCTGCACATGCTCAGGAGGGAGATATTATCTTGCTGTCCTCTAGGGTGAACAACAGAGGCTGCCTTCTAGCCCCAGTGCAAACGTGGGAGTTGCTGATCTGGGTTGCAGAAGAAACAGAGTGTGACAGATCGAATGTTACTGTAAAGCAACAAATAAAGGGGATGTGACAATTGTAATATGGAACCTGGTAGTCCATTCTTCCTTATTCCTGAGGTCAATTTGGCTTGCCATTCCCACTCACTAATGAAAATTCTAGTTGCAGATGAAGATATCAGTCATCTGCAGTTGTGGTGCCTGGAGAGGGATTAGGCTTTCTGACCTAATTGCCATGGTTGTTTGGAAGTTACTTGAAATAGGTAAATTTTCCTTTACAGTTTCAGGATGCAAACAGTTTTCAGAAAGCGTATGGTGAAGTGAGAGGTATTTGCAACAGCATAAAATAACGACACCTGTAGGAGATACTTTAATGTAGAATAATTATTTTTTTCCTGTAGAGTTCGAATGTAAGCTTTAAAAAGCCAATGAAACCTGAATGTTAGTAAGATAGCTAAAAAAAAAAGGTAATAATCGCAAATCATAGAAGAGATAGTTCTGATGTGAAACCATTCCATTTGGAGCATTAGTTAGACAGATATTGTAGTGGAGTGCTTGGTGCTCTCAAGCTTAGTTGTTTGCTTGCAGACATTTCATTACTTGACTAGGCAATATCATCAATGCTAGCACTGATATTGTTACCCGGCACGGTAATGAAATGTTTATAAGCAAACAATCAAGCTCAGAGAGCACACAGGACTCCAGATGTCATCCCTGAGCTATATATATTCTCTTCTGTTGAAAATACTATAGTCTTTGTTTGGTTCTTCTGTGCTTGAACACCTAAAGTTGATTCATAATTACTCCAGGCAATGCCACAAATAGTTATTTAGAAGACTGTGCTAATTATAGTATGTGGAAAACTGCCTAATTTCAGGACTTGTTCCAGTACTCCAGAAACAAGATTTGACTCAATCTGAGAGTAAATCTGGTGTCACTCAGAAAGCTGATCAGAATGAGATTCAGAAAACCGAAGCACCCTCTCTCTTTTCAGAGAACACAAGAAATACAAATTTGCCTTTTTGTTTGTTAGTATTTTCCTGCAAACTTGATAGACACTCTTGTAGGGATTTGTCAGACATATTTCATTAAGCATATTGAAAAGTCAACCAACTCATGGATATTCTCTTTTTCTTCTTCTTGTGTCATATCCGTTATCGGATGTTGGCGATCATGTTGGAGATCCTGTTTTTATCAGCAGCCGCACGAAAAAGTGCTGCTGAGTTTTGTCCGTACCACTCTCTTAGATTTTGAAGCCATGATGTTCTTCTTCTGCCTGGACCTCGTTTGCCTTCAATCTTTCCCTGGAGGATTAAATGGAGTATGCCGTATTTTTCTAATATAAAATAGAAAATATTCTAATTTTCATTTTTTAATTGTTTTGATGGTTTCCCTTGGCTTTCCCAGGCGGCTTATCACCTCCTCATTTCTGATCTTGTCAACCCAGCTTATACATAACAGCCGCCTGTAAATCCACATTTCAAATGCTTCTAGTCTCTTCAGGTGGCCTTATAGATATTCTCTAGAAATTAAATTTGCTTAGTTTTTGTAAGTTAATCCAGTTCATAAAATTGATATGAGTACAAGGTGATGCTGTCAAACATACTGTCAGTGTGGGAGTTTGCTGGCAGCTGTGCATATTGTTTGTGACTGGTTTGAACTAACCAGCACAATCATCTAGCAGCCTTGCAAATGGCATGACTAAAGTCAAGTCAAGAAGTGCAGCACAGCAATTCAGCAGCCAACGTGATTGATCAGAAGTTTCATTTTAGTGTTTCAGTTACACTATAAAAAAAACAACAACTCTGTTTTGCCCTAGCCCAGTGGTGGCAAACCTATGGCACAGGTGTCAGAGGCGGCACTCAGAGCCCTCTCTGTGGGCACGCATGCCATCGCCCCAGTCCTAGGCCTTCAGCTGGGTTTTATAAAACCTTTTCGCTTTAGGCCTCCGCCACCATGTGCAAAAAAAAAAAAAAAGGTTCAATCGAATCAGTCAATTTTAACTTCTTGGGGAAAAAAAAAAGATCTTGCAAAGTTGGAATTGATTGATGGAACTTTTTAGTCCCACCCAGTCTGCCGTTACCACTGCAGCCATGCCCACCCAGTTGGCCACGCCCAGCCAATGGGCCACACCCACCCGGCACTCGACGATGCATAAGTGGGTTTTGGGTTCCAGTTTGGGCCCTCAGTTTCTAAAAGGTTCGCCATCACTGCCCTAGCCTGTTATTTGGGAAACTGTGATCATTTCACTTAAGGAGAGGAGAGTCCCTACTTTTCGTTGGACAATTTTCTGATGGTAAACTATTAACTTAGAAGCCTTCATGAGTATGTATGTATATTAAAATGATAGAATCAAAGGCAAAAATGGGGAAAAAATAGTCCAGTTCTTTGCTGTAACTCAGTTGTCCACAATTTCTACAGATCAATTTATTGAATGTTATCGGTTTTATCTACAGCAGTTAAAAATTTTGCATTAGAAATACTCTTAATAAAAAGAATTCATACTCTATGCAGTGTGTAATTATAGAGAGCCATAACTCTTTTTTCTCCCAAAAGTTTATAATCCACTACATTTTTACTGGCTTTAAATGATGCATATTAATTTTCCCAAGGGGCCTTTCTTTCTAACATCAGCCCATTCCTTATTTCAAACTGGTTTGCCCAAATATTGTTGAAAGATTTATCCTTATTGGATAATTCTGAACCCAGCCTTTTGCTTGTCTTGAGGGTGTATCAGTCAACAGCACAGAATATAGACTCATAAAGCAAGATTCTTGAATAACTGTGGCTCAAATTGTTTTGAATAACAATAGCTTCTCTGTTGCTTCATGTAAGCAGTTTTGGTTGCCACAATATAAAAAAGATGTTGAGACTCTAGAAAGAGTACAGAGAAGAGCAAGAAAGATAATTAGGGGACTGGAGGCTAAAACATATAAAGAACAGTTGCTGGAACTGAGTATGTTTAGTTTAATGAAAAGAATGACTAGCAGTGACATGATAGCAGTGTTCCAATCTTGCTGTTTAGATTCCTTCTGTTTTCTTTTCTTTTTTTGTATGGCATGTATGAGGGCATTTTTTTCTTTGCATTGCTAGCAAGATGAGGCAGTGATTTTTTTCTTTTTATTTCTCAAGAGCAGATGTGAAAATGATTTGGGAATTGAAGAGCTGGGGTTATGTTGCCCTCAAGCAGGAATTATATTGTAAGAAAGGCAATGGCAGTCTTCAAAGCAATGGATTGGGACAGTTTGTTCTTTATGACACCCCTCCCAAGATTCTGGTAACTATACCCACAAAGGACCTGGTGCAATTAAGGATCCCTTTCTTTTCTCCCTAGGATAAGATTGGAAAAAAAATCTGGTAAAAGGATACTATTTATGAGCAGGATAAAATCAAAATGAAACATGACTGAGTTTGAAAATGGTTGAATCTAGCTGGGGGCTATGAAGAAAAACATTCCAGGAAAAATATCTCTTTAGTGGATCCCCTGTGAGACAGTTGAGCTGCAGATCAGAATGCTGTCTCCCCACACTATTTCCTGGTCATTGACAATAATCTTAGTAGACCTACATAATGAATTATTAGAATCAGTCCATCACATGGCATAGCTTGGAGAAACCTGACATGTAATAAAAAGCTATTTGTATACTAATTGCTGGCAAATTTGCAAAGCGTGATTACAAATATCTATGAATGCAAGTCACCCTGGACCTTTCTTTGTTATTAATTCAGTGAGAGAATAGAGACTGAGACATCAAGGTTAATTCGACTGTGTGACATTTTTGTATGGTTTGAATTTGTCATGCTGAAAATCTCACGAGAAGAAGGAAAACTGGAACAACTACATATTTAATAAAAAAAGGCAAAAGTTTATGCAGAATTCTAACCAAGAATTCCATGACTTCAGATTTTCTTCCTTTGAATGTAAACACTTTATTAACAACCCAAAAGTATGCCTGAGAGATTTAGCCCTTGGCATTTTATGATCAGCATAAAAACAGTGTACAATCTTGCGGGGTCACTGGCAAATGCTTTAGTCTAGCGCTAAAACAAAATGATGCAAAAGTCTAAAGAGGAAATTGGGTAGGCTGATCCCAGGAAACTGATTCCAAGGCAAAGATTAAAAGGTTCAGGGGCTGGTGGACTATCCTGATCAAGCAGAAGGTCAGGCTTTGTCAGGGAGAGTACAAGAAGTCTATATGTCTTGTCTTTAGTAAGTTGCTCAGTGGGGTGGTTCAAACCGAGGCAGTTTTTTAGTGGATCAGCTGATTTCTCTGGTCTAAGAATTTGCAGCCTTTCCATCTACCATTATCTGACCTATAAATCTTACCCAAGTAATTTTGTTCACCTGCATATTGTCCTGCAATGCAGGTAGTAAATCATCTGGCCTTGCTTTTCTATTGTTTGACCCATTGGTACCTTAGAGCAGTAATTCCCAATCGGTGATTTGAAGATGGATGGCGATTAATGAAGAGAATGCAAATAGTCCTTTGTTTAGACACTAGATTCTTAGGTATATATTTAATGGTAAAAAGTTTGTGAAGTTACTGTATCTCATGAAGGTTTGACATTCTTGCCTAAATTAAACAGGATTTCTAATGGGAACAGTACAGTCTTAAGAGGCATGGCAATCTCCTGGGATTCTGGCCATTTATATTATGTATAAACAAATAATATTTATTGTTATTTGATTTGGGGGCGGGTCACATATCAATTCCACTGGTGGTACTTCGGCACCTGGCAGGTGGTATGTGTACGATGGGTTGAAAAGCACTGTAAAAAAAAGTGTAAAAAAAAAAGTGTAAAAGTGGATGAGATGAAGCGGTGAAAGTGTCAGAGAGGCCTGGGGGAGAATCAGCTGGAGCTGCGGTGTTGCTAGGCTCTGCTGAGAGCCCAGGATCAGTGTGCACAGCTACACCTGATCAGCGCTTCCGGCAGCCTGGGGGGGGGGGTGACCGGCAGCCACATGCAGTCTTCAGGCAAAGATTCAACTGGAGCAGCGGTGTTTCCGGGGCTCTGCTGAGAGCCCAGGATTGGTGCGTGCACGTCCAGCTGATCGGCGCTTCCAGCACAACCAGAAGAGAAAAGGAGGAGGAGGTGGAGAGAGCAGAGAGGATATAAAAGGAGGAAGGGGAAGAGAAGAGAGGATATAAAAGGAGGAGTAAAACGGATACTTTTTTCCTTTTTTTACGGTTTTATTTTATTAGATTATAGAATAAAATACAAAAATATAAAAGCAAATAGTAGGACACAGTGGGGAGGAAAAAGGGAAAGAAAAGTGAGGGGGAGAAGAGAAAAACAAAAGAAAAGGCATTGACTTCCAACTTCCTCTGTTGTAGTAGAATCTCAACTTTTTACTTTTCCATAATAGTATAAACTAGACATTTCCATAACAACAAATGAATCTAATCAAAACTCAAAATTCCCCCCCTCTTTTTTTTTAGTCATCAAGTTTTGGACACCTTGTTAAGCACTGGTGGTACTCGAATCTTGTCATGTCCTAAAAGTGGTACAATCTGTGAAAAGGTTGAAAAACCCTGCTCTATTTTCCCCATTATGATTTAATATCTATGTAAAATAGTGGGCAGATTTCGGTAAAATAGTGTTTGGATTTCTGCAGTAAAGTGCCATCAGTTTTGTTTCTCGTTTACATCACTTGCTGAAAATATCAGAGATGGAATAAAAAGTATATAGAATGCTGAGACATTGGAGTAGACCTTGTAGACAGTAGTTGGGATTCCTAATGCCATTTTCAAGTGCCTTCAATAATAAAAACATTTTTTAAAAAAAAAAAATAGAAGATCACTGCAATAGATCAAAGATCTCGATTTGGGTTTTCATTCATAATGTGAAGAATTTAAGTTCTGAATTCAATTTGCCTGTTATATGCAAAGTTATTAATACTATGCTCTTAGGATCTGTGGTTTTTAATTTTGGTGAATGGAAACTACCCAGTGGAATGATATGTGACGTGCTCAGATACAAACTAGATTTGTGAGGTAGTCGTATGTGTTATATGATTTATTTGTCCTGTTAAGAAGTGAGGGATCTTGATTTATATACAAACCGAATAAATAAGGACTTAAGATATATACAATTCCCCTACCTTTATTAGTTTGCCCTATGGATGCAATAGAAATGATAAGAGTCTGCATTCAGCTTTTCATTTAATTTTGAATCCATTGGATGAAGTGATGTAAATTATTCTTAGCTTCATTTCTGCTCAGAATGCTACCAACTACATTATTTAATTTATAAAGAAAACACATAAAAGATAATCAGCACTTTGTTATACTTGTGGTACTCCAAATCAAAGTTAAAAGTCTCTCCAGGCTTACTGAACCATGCTACTTTCTATTTTCCATTGATTTATCTTGCTTTATTTTACTACTGATTCTTTGCAAAGTTTAAGGATGTGCACGCAAAAGGGAATCCTTTGCCTATTTGAGATGCTTCAAGAGCGTGCAGACATTTCCTCCCTTTATCCAATTATTTGTTTCACAGAAGGCAAAGATTTAAGAAGGACTTCACTTAAATTGATTTTACCTGGATTTAATTCCATGAGTTTGAAAAGAATGTGTCTTGATTTATACAAGTTTAGCCAAGAGCAACATCAAATGCAGTAATTCAAGGAAATACAATAAAAGCAGCACCTTAGATGGAGTTTGCTCTACAAGTCTAATCCAGCCAGAAAAGGCTGTTGGTGAATTGTTATAACATAATTCAGCTTCCATGAGAACTATCAAGGGAAATCTATAAACATCTGTCTTTCTCCATTAAATAAATGCAGCACTAATGCCTTTTAAAGGGTTTGACAATGTCCTTAAATTCATCAGCTCATTGTGCTTTCTTTTCTCAGTATTGGAGCGCTTATTGGCTTGTCGGTTGCAGCAACGGTCTTGCTGGCTTTTCTCATCACGGTGTGTGTCCTCTGTTACTTGTTTATCAGCAAGAAGCCACGCAACAAATTGGATACAGGTTTAACCTTGAGCTTAGAAGCAGCAGGTAAGATCACCCTGTTCTGTGGAAAAGATTCACTTATTTCCTTAATTAAAATCACTCAGTGGTAATCGGTTTTCCATTTCATCTGGATTTTAAAATGTTCCGACACCCACCATTTTTATGAAAGCACCCAAAGAAGCTTGCCCTATTCCAAGCAAAGATGCAACATGCGACACAAACATTCAGTTCAGTAAAATTAAAAACCAATCAACAATTAAAAGCCTAGTAAAATGGACTGTCTTTACTATTTTTCTAAATATTGGTGGAGTTGGAACTAAATGCTCCTTCAGAGAGAGACCATTTCATAGCCAGGGAGCTTCCCTGAATGAAATACAGATCCTCTGAGCCTCCCCAAAGCAGATGGAATGAAGCAACAATTATGCTTCTTGTAATTGTAGAATACCTTCTCAGTCTGGCACGTTTTAGATATTGCAGGGATTGCAAGTCTCAGGATTGCCAGCCAGGATGGGAGTTGCAGTCCCAACACATCTGGGGAGGGGTATTAAATTGCAGAAGACTACTGCAGGGAGCGAAAATAAAAGCATGAGCAATCATTTGGAAACTTTCAGGAATATCTGTCAGGGAAACATGGATTCAATGGTGTGAGATAACTTAGCCTAGCTACTTGGGTATTTTTTCTAAACATTTTAGTCTATTTATGAGATGCTGATACTTGCAAATATTTGATTTATTTCAGTTTGCCTGAGCAACTGGATTTGTACTGTTGTTTTTCAGGCAGAGAAATTAGAAGAAATTCTTCAAGTTGAAGGAAGATATACGGAACAGAACTGGTTCAACCGAGTTCTGCAAGCAGTTAGGTACAGTGTTCTTTCTATGTACTAACTGTGTAGCTGAGGTTTGCTTTTGACCCAGGAAAGACGGCATAATCATCCTAAAAGTGATACAGCCGGAGGGATATAGCAGGGAGAAGATAACGTCAGAAGTTCCATTTTATCATAAGCTTCATCCCTTTTGTAGGTGCTTCATACTGTATGCTTGCATGAAGACTGCAGTTCTTGTGTTTCAATGGTGCAGCTTGATTTTCATCAGTTTGAAAATGTTCATATGAGCACCTTGGCTTCTAATAGCATAATTATAGTAGGGACATATTTGATTTCTCTAGTTATATTAAAAATATAATTGCCAGTATGTTCTATTGCTAGTATTTTTAAGAAGAGATTGGATAACCATTTGTCTGAAATGGTGTAGGAGCTTCTGCTTTGATCAGAGAGTTAGACTAGAAAACTTCCAAGGTCCCTTCTAACTCTGTTATTCTGAGGTGGCTGCATACAAGTCGATGGATGGATGGATGGATGGATGGATGGATGGATGGATGGATGGATGGATGATTAATAGATGATCATGATGGATGGATGGATGGATGGATGGATGGATGGATGGATGGACAGACAGACAGACAGACAGACAGACAGACAGACAGACAGATGGATAGATAGATAGATAGCAAGCAAATCATTGCACTTTCCCATGACGGAAAACCATCCCTACCTATTTAAAGATGCTTGGTCTAGCTTACCTTTCTGACTTTCTCGCAGAAACCAGGATCTTGATTTTATTAAGCTTAATCTATAGCAAATGAGCTTTACAAAAGAGAATCAAGGCCCTTGTTACCCTCCTTAATTCTATTGGGATCCAAAGTATAACAGCCATATAATCTATGCTTAACATAAGGTTATATGCTAACCTTAGAGGGATGATGTTGCATTTTATCTATGTTATATAGTATATTAAAAATATTAATATTCAGGCCCAGTTGTCTGCATCACACAGTTGTGATTCAGCTAAGATAGGAAGATTTAGTCTTTAGAAGGAAGCTGTGCAACTAAACATTGATCCATGTGGATTACTTTTCTAGTAGCATGACTTCATATCTGAGCTTGGATTTCTCAAAGATTTGTAGATTGATCTATAAGGATTTAGATTTAGAATTTTAAAAATGACAAGCACTTTTTCTAACAGAAAAACCTGCTCCCAGTCTGTTTTTTAGTTCCTAGCCAAAAATGAAATATGCTGGTTTATAGTCAGATATTAAATGTGCAATTTCAATCTCCTGCTTTCCTTAACCTTCTCTGACTGAGTGGCCTCCAGATGCTATGAATTACAGTTTCCTTATTTCCTAGCTTAATATAGAATTGGTCCTGCAAATCATGTTTAGGGAAGCTTACATTGGAACCAATTGAAACAGGACTGTATCAGTTCCATTATGGAAAGACACCTTTGGTGATATGTGGAGGAATAGAAATTAGCTTTTTTGTATCCACCTCTGTGAGAACTAAAAACTGTTCAGGAAAAGAAGACTTGATTTGCTGCATTTCTGTTCCATTTTGTAGCAATAAAACCTTGGCATGGTGATACATTGGGAATATATCTTCTAGTGCTACCCAGAAGATTATATCATTCTTCCTCTCAGGATGATTTTGATTTTGTTGTGGAATACTAGCAGACTAACTGGCATACCACCCCTGAATAGCATTGATTCACTATTCTCAAGAGAATGTTAGAATACTTTCTTTCTTCCCTTACTATCTGCTTGATTTGTTTAAATTAGGACTAAAGTAGATGCAGTGAAGGAATCTGTGAAAGGACTTAAATATTTCTCTAGTTTAGATATGTTAAACTTCAGTTGCCATAATTCTTACCCAACTACATGGCAGCCCATGGAGAAAGCAGTTCTATTGTTTTGTTTTTATATTAGGTGTCTCGCAGGATTTTCTTGCTTATGGAAGAAATGCTCTGAGGGTGGAAAATAGAGTACAAAAAGGTTCTTCCTGATTTTGCATTCTTTTGGAGTTCCAATAAAATTATATAAGATGAATGGCATGAGCTGAAGTGTAAAACATCATTGTCTTGGGAGCATTTCTTCATGAGAATTTTGCCTCAGTTCACTGCCATCTCTGGACTTCTCTGATCAACCAGAGTTGGCTGCTTTTGAGAGCTGAATTGGTTATGAACACTGAAAGCTGAAGCTGTTGCAATTTCTTTGAAACATACCTAATATTATCGTTGACATTTTGTGGCTCTGTGAAGCTTATCCATGATCCATTTCCCAATTGGCTTTTACATGCAAGAGACAGATGGTGGTATAGATTCCACTCTCTTTTTAAAACAAAAGACTTTGTCTAGCGGTTTCCCATTATAGCTACAAGGAAGATAGTCATTAGGAAATAACTTTGAGTTTACTTTTGCATGAGGTACTATTCCAGATCGTGCCTAGGCTCAGTGACCATGAAATTCATCAAATGACTTTATTTTCATTCCAGTTTGGCTAGCTGAAGGAAGCGCTGTTTGTTTGTGATGTACTTGTGCTTCAGGTAAAGATAATTGACTTTAAACTGGTTTGAAAGGATTAGGAAAATGAAAACAGTGCGGGTATGGCAGTGCTCTCTCATCTCAGAAAACCTTCAAATCAGTCCTATAGGTATCCTTTCAATAAAACAAAATGCAAGAATCTTAATCATGGGTTTCCTACATTACATATGATTTGGTCCAGCCTGATTTGTTAATCATATTCTCTGTTTCATCTAGAGTTATTCAGTTGATCATTGTTGAGGGTAGGTAGAAATGTGTATTCGAAAATCGCATGAAGCCATTCCTCTTAAGTCAGTGGTTCTCAACCTGTGGTCCATGGATCCCTGGAGGAGAAGAAATGTTATGATTTAAATCTTGATTTAAGTCTTGGTGGTGCGTGGCTGTGGTGTGTGGGCACAAAAGGTATTTAAAAGGGGCCCATGGTGAAGAAAAAGTTGAGAACCACTGCTCTAAGTAGTTAATTCAGCGTCCTCTGCCTTATCCATAGGGAGAATGTAATTCTCTGAATATTCAGATGGCCTGGGGCATTTGGAGAGTATTGGGCAAAATGAGGACAGGGTTCAAGTATTTCTAGATAAAAAACTGGTTCTAAGCTGTGTTCAGCCAGTTAATTTCAGTAGGGCTAATAATGGAGTCTCACAGTATTTGTACTATCTTCATAGCATTAGTGTGATAATTTTAAAAAATCCTTGTATGCTCTCCTAAACTCTTTGAAGGAAATACAGTTTGTATATGTGTTTATTGTGCTTCCTGTTTGTTTCCCTAGCAAAGAAGTGCATTTGTCCAAAGGCACCAGCAAAGTATTCCAGAAATGAAGGCATTCATTTTAGACTGTGAGAATTCAGTGCAAAAAAAGTGCCAGCGTATGTATGCCCATGTGTGTTTGTGTACTCCCTTCTTGTTTTCTTGCCATGCTAATTGTTAGTTATGCTCAGAGCCAACCTGAATATATGCCCAGAAATATAATATACTTGTCACTATTAATTTAGGATTTTAGGCCCTGATCCTGTAAACCTGAAAAGGCCTATATTGTCTTATACAGGCAAAGTTAGAATCTTAATCATTTTTAATAATCCAGTAGTGGCTTTAAAGAAGTGATAAAAAGAATACTAAACAAAATCATCCTGTATTACTTCTGGATCAAAATGTGATGGTTTTCTTGGATTTGTATATTCTGTTGTAAAAAGCTACAGATTTGTTCCCTCACAGTTCCAATTCTTTGTAATAAGCAAGCCTGGTTAATATAGGCAACTTGTGGGGATCCCTGCCAATAATGCTTCGGTGATAAATTATATTATTAGACAGTAATATTAGGATGTTAATCAGATTTGACTCTTTTTCACCTAGATATTATTTTTTTTTTAAAAAAAAACTAATTCTTATTTATTCATTTGGTAAAGTTAAACGTAACATGAAGTCCCGTAAATACAATACACAGATACCACTACTACTACCAAATATCATATATAACAATAATTACGAAAATAATCTTATCTCTTTTGTCATGTTAATTAAATAAAAACAAAGAGAGCTAAAATATTTTTTATCAATAAATTTTTATTATCAATAATGAGGCATCTGATTGCATCTTTTCAGACTAACAAATATTATTAAAACACACAAGTACAACTTCTAATTTTTGGCTTTGGTAGACTAACATGGCATTTGACTGTAATGCCTCTTGTTAGCAAAGTAATTAACAGAACATAGAATAAAATACAATGAAACTATATACATAAACCAGTCCTTGAGAAGGAAAAGGTAATCAAGATGCATAAACAATTCTTTCTCTCAACGTTAAATCTGTAAAGGCTCCAAATTTATAATGTTCAGATTTTTCTCTGAGAACTGTGGTAAACAAGCCCATACTTATTATTTCATATGAGAAAGTTGCCAAAGCAAGAATTATTCAAAAACAGGGATTCTCCTGGGCTCTCCATGCATTTTATATCCAGCAGGATCTTCCGCTAGTAGTGTCTTGCTTGATGGATCTGCATAAACATTGTGGAGATTGTTGTATATTTCCAAAGCCTTTTCTCCTATGCAGTAGATCAGCCCAGCATTTTTATCATCCTTTGATTTCCTCAGCCTTTTATGAATTGTAGATATAATTGCAGTTTCATTTTTCTCCTACATTTCCTGCCAGATTTAATTAGAAGGGCAGCTTAATAGGCTCCATTTTTTTTCTTGCAACTGCTGGCTAAAGAACTGGAAACTTTTTTTCAGGTAGGCTTAAGAGAAAAAGTTCTGATATTTTGACCCAATGTAATATTTCTTGGGCGTGAGAAATATCAGGGAGAATTTGATTGCTTTTAGATTTTCCAGCCAACACACTGCAGGCATCAACAGCTTCATAACAAGTTCCTTTATTATTCATTACAGTGCAGTAGATGGAGAACATCCAGTCTCTAAGAACTTTCAGGCAATACTGCCTTGTTCCCAAGCACCTCAAAATGAAATAGGGAAAGGCTTTACGCAGACTCTGGAAAGCAAAATATGCAGGCTTTCTAATCTGTCTACACACACATACAAAAGGTTATGCCTACCTTTATTGCCCTGCACCTTGTTAACAATTTAAACGTGTGACTTAAGCATTATTTACTATGTTTCAGATATTAAACATATGTGACATTAAACATTCCACAATAGAAGACCCCTACCCAATCCCATGATAGTTTCCTGGGTCATTTAGAGAATATAGTTTTTCACTTCTTCTTGACATCCTATTCATGTTCTCATAGTACCTTGTTAAAAGATGTTGATGACTTTTATAAATATGTCCTCATTTGTTAAGTTGATGTGGCAGTTCAATTTCATTCCAGGATATATTATTTAAAACACCAAAATAAATTACAAGTAAACTACAGAATTGAAGAGACTTTTAAATTTGTTGCACAGCTCTATACAGAAATTCAATTGGCAGTAATCCACATTTTAGTGGAAATTGTTTAGTGTAATGATTAGCTGATTTACCAGTTTACAGATGTTTCTACTGATTTCCAGATGTGTTTCAAATATAACATTAATAGATCTTCACTGGACTGTAATTAAACCCAATATAGGAAAGACTATTATGCAGCCTTTTCCATCATGGCCAATTTTAAAATGTAGACTTAGATTTCAACAACCTTATTCAAAATATACAGATGGATTTACAGAATAAAAACAAACAAATCCAAAAACCAGTTGCCTTGCTGTTCAAAATAATTTTGTATTTCAAAAGTAATCTGACATAGAATTTAATTCTACCTGGAAACCATTTGGGGGTAATATCATTATATGCACAATTGCACAATATCTGAAATTTGTGTTCTTAGTAAATTGATGCCTTTAATTGCTCAGACAGAAATTAATGCAATACTTTATTTCACTTTATGATTTACACTACTATTTCTGTTGATATTCATGTATTACTTTATTTTAACAGTGATTTTGTAGTTGTACATTCAATAACAAAATGGCTAATCAAATCAATGAAATGTCAACATTTTAATTAATATTTAATATAAACTAATCCTGATCCTGATTATCCACATTGTGCTTTTTTTACTTTCTTTTTAAAAATCTCTTTCCCCATTTTTGTGCCTTTTTTATTTTCCTTAACTACTTGATAAAAATACAATTATAAAAAACTTGCTTGGTTGCCTATCATTGTTCTGTAAATTGTCTACAAATGATGTTAAGATATGAGTGTGTAAATAAAAAAAATGGAAATTGGTAATTGTCTACCAGCTTTTTTTGTTTCCCAGTGTTGAAAAAAAATAGCAGAATCAACTATCAATTATGAATTGGCCATTTTAAAAAGTTGTTGGTGACTTTATGTTCTATATTTGATTTACACTTCTGGAATTCTTATGTCTCCTGTTAGTGATGGAATAACTTTTAAAATGCGAAAACAAAGCAAGCTAAGCAAATTGAACCAATAAAAAAACTGCCCTTCAATTTTCTCTAAGATTGATATAATATTTATTCTACAAAAGAAATATATTTATAGCACTTTCTGATAATGGCTTTTCTATTTTTATCACTGTGATGTGGGGCTTGTAGTGTCTGCCTAAGATTTACATCAGAAATATTAAAACCATATTTTTATGCACAAAAATGGTTATTGTTCCTTTTGCAGACCTATAAAATAGTGCTCATATTCCACCGCAGCAACAGGTGAGTCTTGTAAAAGTCATTGTAAATATTTAAGTAATGTTTCTGAGTTTCCTTGACAAGAGAGCTACAGGTGATTTAAGGAATAATATATGGATAAAAAAACAGTTTTAATAAACAGCTTGATGTGCTTAATAGGAGGGAACTCGCCTTCCTGAGATCTGGATAGTGAAAAGTAAAGGAAAGTAGCCGGATGATAGGTAAGAGACCACTGAAGCCACAAAAAATTAAATGCCGAAGAGACAACCAAAAAGGTGAGTTTCTTTTCATAGGAAGGGTTTTTAAAACAAAGGCAGCCTTTCCTTTGTTTTCAAATTTTCTAAGTAAATGCTATAAAGCATTTTCCAGGTCAACATGTCTCAGCTTTGTCTTATGCATCATACACCACAGTACCTGTACAAATATACAGCATCATTTATGTACTTACTGTATATTTTATTTCTAGAACCTTTTATCTCCCAACTGTGTAGACTGCACAAAAGTGCACAATACAGTACAAAAAATCAATATAAAGCAGCACATCACAGGATGGGATCAGAGAATAGGATCGGCCTGATGGTAAATCACTAAACTTCAACAACTTGCTAACAACTTGAGCTAAAATAAATCAGTGCAGCACATAAATGTACATCCACCCTGAAATAAGAAAAAAACAAATCTCACACTCTAAGCCTCCAAACTAATAGTGGGCTTGGGCAATAGTATCCACTGTAAAGGGGAAAGAACAAGCATTGTAAAAGATTCTTATGTTATTTGGCACATTGGTGAAATCGTTTCTGGAGAAAATATGTAAGAGTGAATTGAAGTATAAGCCAGAGACACGATCAAAGAAATTCTCTAAACTAGAATGGAGAAAGATAGTTGAAGACTCAGGAAAAGCATGCACAAATAGCTTTGCTTAGCATTCAATTATAGCCATTTAAGGAATATGTTATACAATGCTGAGCATCTTGATTTCAGACAGTTGCTGAAAAGCTGAAAAGTACTAAAGATCTTGCTATAAGTTTAGATAGCAAGTCATAAACTGAAGTCAAGAAGTCAAGAGAGGATATGGTGTTATCATTTGAATATACAAAGTATTTATAAAGAAACTGGATCTTAATTTTTATCCTGTCAGATTAGCCCAGTGGTGGGCAACTCATACTTAGCCATTCCTTCTGAAGCTGTGGCTGAGTGGTTGGGACAGAACTGCTGTTTCCTTACTGTTGGTAATGATGGAAATCAGCAAACTTGAACAGTCACAGGGAAGGAAGGTTATAGTTTGTTTTTTGCATCTAGTAAAGATCCATTTTCTCTAACTACGAAGCTTCTATTTAAACATTGCATTAACAATATTGGCAGAGCCATTGATTTGTCTATTCCTTTTCAAAAGAAATTTTTGCCAAAAGAAATCTTTGCCAGCAGTCACCAGGTTTCCAAAATTTGGAAATGAATTCTAAAAAATATTTCCTTGGTTATTCTGAGAGTGTACTAACCAATAATATCATCATAAATTTTAAAATTTATGGCAGAGGAAAAAATATGAATTTCTCTCTTTCCATTATGCTTTTTCTTTGGTTATCTTTCTTTTTGCATTAGAAAACCAAATAACATTGGCTATTCCTTGTGGGAAAAATATGTCATTCTTTCAATATCTTAGTTGCCACTCTATGTATCCTGTAGAAGAACAATCAGAAGATGTAAGAACAGAAGAATCATTGAAAATTCCTTCATCTTATTTGTTACTCTTACAGCTCAAGGACTGCTGCAGAGTCATCCAGATAAACAGTGTTGAGATATGATTATTTTGTGTGATAGGAATTCAGCTGGTATATGATAAGAAGTTTAATGAACATACCTACGAAGGGGAAGAATATTAAAGGAATGAGCACAGCCCAGGAATTGGATCTTCAGTGGAAATAAACTTAATCATCAATTCTATAAAACATCAAAAAGATCACTAAAGAAATGGCTTTGAATTCAATATGAGTATTTGGCAGGATTAACTGAAAAGAGTTCACAAAGTTGTAAGAACATTAGTGAGTAAGGTAGATCTAGCCAACAGGTTTTTGTTTCAATTATTTGGCCAAGAAAAGCAAATCAGAACATTCACTGTGGTGTGTAGATTTTGGATAGGGCTAGAAAAATAGAAATGGGAGAAATTTTATTAGAAGTCATGAATATGAAGAAAAAGAACAAAGCATGGCAACTATAATATAAATAATGGATTCTACTTTTTCACAATCAAGACTAACCCATGGAGATACCTCATCGGATTTGGAGATTAGGATCTTATTTTGGGTTATGACATGCACAACTGTAACAGTTGTAGGAAACTATCCATTTATAACAGTGGTTCTCAACCTTTTTAATGCCGTGACCCCCAACCGGTCGTACGTCGAGGACTACTCAACCGGTCGTAAGTCGAGGACTACTCAACTGGTGCAGCACTGTTTGCAGAATGGGACTTTTGGCGGGCTCAGCAGGGCAGAGACAGCCTGGACAATTCCTATTGGCTTTTGAAAGCCAATAGAATTAGACTCTATTCAAGAGAGTCTATTCTATTGGCTTTCAAAAGCCAATAGAATAAAAGGGAGTAGCACAGCTAAGGAAAAGGGGGAAAAAATGGCGGACTGCGTTGTTTGGCGACCCCCATGAAATAGTTGTTTGACCCCAAATGGGGTCCCGACCCACAGGTTGAGAACCACTGATTTATAAGGTATCTCTTAATGCACTATATTCCCTATAAGAATAGTAAATCCAGTCTCTTAGTTGATTGGATTTGAAACAGTTTTCTTAGATATAAAAAAAGAGCAATTTAATAATTTAGTAGAAAAAATGTAGGAGGTATTGATTTAATGAAAACAAGGTAGAAAAATAATTGTTTCTAAAGATAAGATCCTTATTGCTGTTTTAAAAATGCTTTAATTTAAGGATTCTAAAGCAACCATATATTTCAAATTGGCTGAAATACTGTATAGCCAACAGGGAAATCAGCAGGCAATGCACAATTTTTGCTTTAATTTAGTCAAAGTCATAGTTCATTAGAAAAAAATGCTGCCACTTGCAGGTTACTAATGGCTATTTCTTTTTGATGTAGAGCCCAGAGCTACGTTTTTATTTAGGTTTTTGAAGGAGTTCTGTGTTCCCACATTATACAAACTCATACTGAAATAAAACAATTACTTTGTTGAACAATCAATATTACAAAGATCTCCTTATATCTACATTTCTCAGTATATCTAGACTGTGGAACAATTGGCATGATTAGAAATCCTACTTTCACCTTTATAGTAATGCTTAAAACATTTTTTTCCAATCTATAGCTTTCCAGATGTATTCCCCACAATAGGCAGCCAACGTTGGGGAGGAAATAATTATACCTAGAATAACTTGCCAACATTTCCTATCAACACTACAGTATTGAATATTGCTGAAGGCTCTTCTCCATTGCATATTGTATGTTACATTCATTTATTTCAGAAAAGAGACAAAGTTGCACAGCCATAACAATCAAAGTTTTGTTCTGTGAAAGATATAGCATACTATAAAATATTGTTTACAAGCTGTTATTAACAGTTCAAAATATTTCCTAACAAGTGCAGCATGTGAAATGGCAGGCAATTCACAGCATGGTGCCTTAGTGATTTAGCATACATATCTGAGGCTGACTTAAATTATGTCCCCATTTGTGGTTTATAGTATTTACAACATCACCATCCCTCACTAATGTGTTATAATGGCTGTCCTTATTACTGTTATTTTGATACAGTAATAGCTGCATGACTCTGGGGGATCTTACGAGTTGCTAGTGAAGAAATGACAAATGTATTAGCATAGACAGGAGGACTTACCTGGGTGCCTATTTAATCTCCTCTTGGATTGATAGCTCTTCTCATCATCTGTATACTATTAAAATTCTCTATGTTGTGACCTTTAACAGGGCAAAACAGTGCAACATATGACAAAATTTTTGAACCACGGTACCTCCAATAGTCTAACTTGCACAATGTGTCCAAAATCCAGGACCCATAACTCCTGAGAAAATGACACTTGAGAAAGTTGTGGTTGCTTTAGTGCTACTGGCTGCTATGTTACTGCTGCTGTGGTCACATGGTCCACATTTTCAATGTTCCGTGATAATTTTCCAGCCAGTCTTAACACCCCACTCCCTCCTTGACCGAGCACAGCCACTTACCTGCCTACTGGGAAGGGAAGGAAAGGGAAGGGAAGATAAGATTTCCAATGATCCCTGACAGATTTCCACAAGAAAACTCAGTGGGGAAGCCAGCAGGAAGTCGGAAATCATTTCTGCTTCTACTGCTTTTTTGCCTTTCCTTGTTCATTTTGTATCTCTGTTTAGGTAAGGAAATGTCTCTGAAATGATGATCCAATGGGCCATAGGTTATTTATTTTCAAATTGGAAAACTGCAAAACTGACCACATGGCCAATCTAGATCTGTACAGATTTGTCTTATATTCAGAACATCCTATATCTATGAGTTCTGATACTTAGAGAGTCTCTT